TTTTTAAATGCTAATTAATTTAATGTTAATCGAATGCTAATTAATTTAAAGTTTACGGAAGAAATTCTTTACTCTTCTAATTTATTAACTAAATGATTAGGACTCTAAACCAGCTCTAAAAATTATTTTAATTCCAATAATTCCACTTTTTGCATTATGATATAATATTTGTCGAGTTGATTCTAGGGGCTGTTAAGCATGAATTTAATGTACATAAATATTGGCTGAGGGTATTTAGAAATTTTTTTAATTGCTCATTAATTTAATGTTAATTAAATGCTAATTAATTTAAAGTTTACGGAAGAAACACTTTACGTTTCTAATTCATTAACTAAATGATTAGGACTCTAAACCAGCTCTAAAAACTATTTTAATTCCAATAATTCCACTTTTTGCATTATGATATACTAATAATTGAATACAAATAATAATACTAATAATTTTGTTTAAAAATTGTAATAAAAATACATACATTATCATTTTTGTTAATATTTTTAATTTATCGCAAGTTAATTTATACATATATGAAGTGATGTTATAATATTAGGTTAACAATTAAAAAGTATGCTTGTTTTTAATTCATAAGTATGCATGTTTTTGAGTGCGTGTAATTTAAGATTGTTGAAAAAACCCATTATCACGACTTTTGACGCAGAATAAGCTATAATGTGAATATCACTGCATAACATGAATCCACGCTTGCTTACGTTTGTGCAGCATTACTATTTTGTATTGAAAAAATTTTTCGTGTGCTTCGTTTTAACCGACGTTGTTCTTATCTTCATCTGATATTTCCTTTACTGAGTATGATTACTCATAAAATAATCGGGAAAAGTGAATTTTTTTATTTGAGTCTTAGAAGCAACTGTGTACTTTGTAAAATTCATAACCAAAAATCGATAACAAATGATGGCGTTATCCGTGTTTATAAGAAAGGTGAATTATGCGATTACATTATGCTCAAAAGTTTATGTCAGAAAAATATGTAATGTGTGTTATGTTTATAATGTGTTAAATTACGTTATGTCTTAATTCCCTTAAATCACATAAAAGAAAATACAAATTTTTGGGGTTTAAAAAAAAGTAAAAGGGTTAAAATATAGGGCATAATCTACAATTGCTTTGGCTTTTTGGAGGCTTTTGGAGGACAGAAAAAAAAAAGAACCGGGAAGAAAAGCACCGAATAAAAGAAAAGAAAAAAAAAAAAACCCAGAAAAAAGCACTTCATTAGTAATTAAATACCAGTCAATTTGTTTCGACTCATCAGAATATTTTTATTTGAATATTTTGAATGGTAATAATTTTTATGATTTAAAATTTTATTATTAATTCAATAAAGTTAAATCTGAATGATTTTGTCCACCACTGATAGAAACAACTTAAGTATATCTATAAAACCTATTAATTTTATTTTATTTTATAACCGTCGCTGATCCAGACGACCTAGTTTTGAGTTTACGGCTAAAAATGTCCAACGCCGTAGCCTTGTAATTTTGAACACTATCCAGAAGACAAAGGAACTCCAGGATCAAGTATTCGGCGACATTTTGCTTTCGCGGAGGACTTTTCGATTGAACTAACCCGCATTTTAGTTTAAAGGAGAAGAAAACTACGAAAATCGCTTATGGTTAGTCTGACGGGAAAGGGACTCCAACCCATGATCCGTCTACCACAGAGGATATTTTACGTCAACATTGTGGTTGGTGAGAGCCTTGTACGGAATTCGTATCAGCCAGCCATCGCTGGGATTTGATCCTGTTCACCTCATTGGGAGGCAAACGCTCTATCCCCTGAGCCACCACGGGAATTGAGAAGAGGGGGGGGGATTTTTTAAATGCGGCAAAGAGTAAGCAAAAATAAGTTTATCTTAAATTGTTATTTGACTATGTTGGCAGCTATAAATTTATATGTATATGAATTTGACAACTGATTCAGTTGGGCAGTTGAGTCAGACTTTAATATAATTAAATATTTACTGCAATTAGACATTTTTTATGCAATCAATTAAAATATAAATATTATTATAAAGTTTACGGAAATTAACTTTTCATATTTAATGCCATTTAACCAATTGATAAACCACTTCCGACTTAATATATATTTATTAAGCTCGGCCTAGAAACTGTTTTAATGTGGTAGCTAAATGTTGAAAATTATGCAAACTTTGAAGTATTCTATTTGCTAAAATTATTTTCACTTCACTTATCACGGTATCGAAACTTCAAAGCTGATTTTAAAAAACTAAATTGGAAGCTAACTTTTTATGAAATTTTTCTAACAGTCTCGAGAAAAGTTCGTCACCACTCTTTAATATTTTTAAGTTGTGGATAATCTGTATTTGATGAAGTGCATTAATGTGTACCTTGGGTTAACTCACTCTTTGATTGGGGTGTACACCATTTTCTACGGTGGTTAGAGCATCCGACTACCCCAAGATGTCCTTGGTTCGAATCCTGATGGTAGCTAACAAACACTGACTTTCCTCCACATCCATCATGATCACTTGCAAATGTTAAACTATGAATTGGTGATCGAAATGGGCTACAGGTGGCGTAGAGCATAGAGCTCTTTTCCTATGGCAACACTTCACATGCTCTCACCATTAGCGTGTGGAGAGTCATAGGAGAAGAAAGTACGTTAGTTTCTGTCTTGATTTTCAAATAGATTAAAATCTTTTAAGTTAGGAACCTATATCGAACAGAAAACTACACTAAAAATAGATCTAAAAGAAAGCATCATGTAAATTTAACAAATATTTTTAACAATTAAATACGAAAAATATTAAGAAAATGAAAAATATCGTAGTACATTCCTTAACAACTGAAAGGAGGAGGAGAGGGAAGGGTCAAAGGCATGGAATTGGTCTTTTCCCCAGATGGCGAATTCGAGCACTGCAATCGTGAATTTTAGTTTGCATCAGTTTTAATTTTGAAACAGATTTGTTACCTCTCTGCAACTGCTCTTTAGCACATTTTTCATCGTCTAACTAGGTTGTTGTAGTTTCAATTTATTTACGTTGCTGCACAATGGGCTATTGGTTTGGGAAACATCCTTGAGGATGATCCGAATACCTGCCATCACAATTTTGATCCTCTGCAGAGGGGATAGCACCCTCGCTTCGAAAGCCTGACAACCAGACTTGAACTTGAGCCCTTTACGATTGAACAATTTAACCAGGAAAGATACCACCCACCCACTATCCCATTGTAGGCTGATCAAAGTGGTTACCCAACAGCACACTGACCGCAGCCAGTAATCCTNATATCTATAAAACCTATTAATTGTAGTTTATTTTATAACCGTCGCTGAACCAACCGACCCAGTTTTGAGTTTACCGCTAAAAATGTTCAACGGCGAAGCCTTGTAATTTTGAACACAATCCAGAAGACAAAGGAATACCAGGATCAAGTATTGGGAGACATTTTGCCTTCGTGAAGGACTTTTTGATAAAACTAATCCTCATTTGCGTTTAAAGGGGAAGAAAACCACGAAAATCTCCCATGGTTAGTCTGGTGGCAAAGGGAATCTAACCCATGATCCGTCCACCACAGAGTATATTTTACGTCAACATTGTGGTCGGTGAAAGCCAGGTGCGGAATTCGTATCCACCAGCCATCGCTGGGATTTGAACCAGATCTACCTCATTGGGAGGCAAACGCTCTATCCCCTGAGCCACCACGAAAATTGAGAAGGGGGAATTTTTAAATGCGGGAAAAACTAAACAAAAATAAGTTTATCTTTAATTGTTATTTGACTATGTTGGCAACTATGTATTTATATGTATATGAATTTGACAACTGATTCAGTTGGGCCGTTGAGTCAGACTTTAATATAATTAAATATTTACTCTAATTAGATATTTTTTAAGAAATCAATTAAGATATAAATATTAATATAAAGTTTACGGAAATTAACTTTTCATATTTCCTGCCATTTAACCAATTGATAAACCACTTCCGACCTAATATATTTTTATTAAGCTCGGCCTAGAAACTGTTTTAATGTGGTAGCTAAATCTTGAAAAATATACAAATTGTGAAGTTATTTATTTGCTAAAATTATTTTCACTTCGTTTATCATGGTGTCGAAACTTCAAAACTGGTTTTAAAAAACTAAATTGGAAGTTAACTTTTTGTGAAATTTTTCTAACAGTCTTGAGAAAAGTTCGTCACTAATCTTTAGTTCTTCCAAGTTGTGGATAATCTGTATTTGATGAAGTGCATTAATGTGTACCTTGGGTTAACTCACTCTTTGATTGGAGTGAACACCATTTTCTACGGTGGTTAGAGCATCCGACTATCCTAAGAGATCCTTGGTTCGAATCCTGATGGTTACAGGTGGCGTAGAGCAGAGAATTCTCTACCTATGGCAACACTTCACATGCTTTCACCATTAGCGTGTGGAGGGTCATAGGAGAAGAAAGTACGTTAGTTTCTGTCTTGATTTTCAAATAGATTAAAATCATTTAAGTTAGGAAACTATATGGAACAGATAACTACATTAAAAATAGTTCTAAAAGTTCATCATGTAAATTTAAAAAAATATTTTTAACAATTAAATACGAAAAATATTAAGAAAAGGAAAAACATCGTAGTACATTCCTAAACAACTGAAAAGAGGAGGAGAGAGAAAAGTCAAAGGCATGGAACCGGTCTTTTCCCCAGATGGCGAATTCGAGTACTGCAATCGTGAATTTCAGTTTGTATCAATTTTGGAACAGATTTGTTACCTCTCTGCAACTGTTCTTTGACCCATTTTTCATTGTCAAACTAGGTTGCTGTAGTTTTAATTTATTTACGTTGCTGCCCAATGGGCTATTGGTTTGGGAAACATCCCTGAGGATGATCCGAAGACATGCCATCACAATTTTGATCCTCTGCATAGGGGATAGAGCACCCCCGCTTCGAGAAACCTACTACCAGCGCTTGAACTTGAGCCCTTTACGACAGAACAGTTTAACCAGGAAAGATACCGCTCACCCACGATGCCATTGTAGACTGATCAAAGTGGTCACCCAACCGCACACTGACCACACCTAGTGATGCTTGACGTCGGTGGGAACCATGTCTTAACGATCAGTCCACTGCGAGATCATCTAACTAGATGATAATAGCTGTTAATGCGAATCAACAAGTAAGGAAAGCAGTAATAAATGAGTGAAATCGATGAAAATACTATTCGATATCAAATCAAGAAACATCTTTGTTGTCTGCAAATGAGATATATTTGATTTTCTTGTACTTGTCGTGTTAGCAAGAATGTCTCATCGAAGGTTTTGTAAATTTGCAAACACTAGTGACTAAAGCAAGCTAAATAATTTTCGGTGGCTTAATTACGTAATGTTTGGATTCAATCCGTGTGGTGTGAAATTTCAAAATATCCTTGAACTTTTCCTAACATACAATGATGAAATTGTACTTATATTTTAATTTCTCTTGATATCTTGATGAATAACATAATTTTATTTGTAAGCTTTTTTAGAAAATATTATATGTTCATTTTTTCCTTTTTTTCCCTAATATTAGACATGAAAAATAACAATTTGTTTCCAATACCTTGATATAATCTGAGGTAATTCTTAAATTTCTTTGTAATAAAACAGTTATACTTTTTTATATATATTTTTTGATTTTGAAGCGTTTTTAATATTTTTTTTCTGTTATTTTTGTATTTCTACGATCCAGTTAAATTTTAATGGTTATATAATTCAACTAGTGCTTGATGTAAAATAGTAGGTATTATCCTACTACAATTTTTTTTTATGGTTTGTATCTTTTCTTCCATTTTTAATCATAACAAGTTCAAATGTTTAGTTTTTGTTTCCGTATTTGATGTCGTAGTCAAGGACAGATGGACTTTGAAAGTTTTCAAAATTGAATTTTTTGAATTGATATAGTTTATGATGGTGGTGTTTCACAAAACTTAAAATGTTCTCTGGTGTTAAAATATTTTGTAAAATAAGTAAACTAAATTATTTTTAATACGTATCTAGTGTATGTTTTGTAAAAAGTGTATTTTTCTGGTTGTTAACAAGACATATGTATTAGCAATGAACGTAAAAAATATTATTATTACATACCAGTTATGATTTTTTTTTGATTAGGTACTTATTCCATTGAATACTTAAATTTCTTTATAACTAAGGAATTATTTTGATTGATAGTAGTAATAGAAAATGTAACTTATGGTATACAAGGGTCTGTCTAGGTTTTTCTAGGTACTATTTTGTGAAAATTTTGACATCATTTGTGAAAAATTAAATATTATATTAAAAAATCAACACAAAAACATTGTAAAAATATAGATTTAGCGTTTCTTAAAGGAATACAAAAATAAAATTTTAAGAAAAAGTATTTTGTGTTCCTAAAGTTGAATTTGTTAAACTACCGTTTTACCTAAAATTGAATTTGTGAAATTACCGCTAAACGGTAGTAAATACGGCCTGGACAGACCCCTGACTGTGCTTATTTTTTGAGTAAATATTTTTCTATTTTTAACGTATATGTTCTTCACATTTTCATACTTTTTATTATTTAAGATATGCTAAAATTTGTCGCTATGTTAAATTTTTCTAACACTTGATTGATTTTTTGGTTGTGCATCTATGCTCTATCTTTGTTTAGGGGAAAAAATAGCAAATATAAAAGAAAAATATTTATTTGAATTGCTACATATTGAATAAAAATAATTAAAAAAAAAAAGATTTATTTGTTAACAGAGATCTCACAAGAAATAGGGAAAAAAAACATGGTTTTTGACTCCTGTAAAATTATTAAAATATGTTAGTATTGCTACTTATTATAATGAAAAAAATAATATAAATGCAACAGAAGTGAATAATTTTATGCAAATATCTTCTTAGGATTAAAAGGGCTTGCATTTAAATTATAGTAACATCAATTTTAAAGGGCACTTGCTCAGCTATAGAAATAATAAATCTTTAATAAAATTGGAAATTATTGTTATATTGTATTTAAGCAAAACGCAGATTTTGTTTTGTTAACAAATTTTTTTTTTTTTTTAATCGTGCGAAAATCATTTAAATAAATTAAAATTTATTTAATGATAACTTTTCATAAAATAAATATATTTAAAAATACATAATTATAAACCAATAAAAAGGTATTTTTATTGATCATTATGTGGCTATTACATAATGAAAAATGTTAAAAAGGAAGGCTTTGCCACTTTTACTTTAAATCATACGTGAAGATCAATTCTCAAACCACTTTTCTTTTATGAGGCCAATTCTGAAACCACTTTTTTTAATAGTTTCTTTTGTGATTTTAATTTATTTCTCTTCCTAAAGAATTATCAACTGTTTGATAGAGAATCTTTAATTATCTAAGTTAAATGAAAATAATATTTATGAAGAAACTATGTTTTTTCTTGAAATAAACAAGGAGTAGAAAGCCCCTACAGTATGTTGACAAAAGCGAACATTGTTTTTAATTTTTTAGAATTTTAATAATTATTTAGTTTAAATGAATTAATAATTTAGTTTAAGCGAATAGTGACATGATAAGGAACATTAATCAATTTTTAGAAAATGAAATTAGAGTGATCTGTTTATTACATTATTTTTTAACTATCTATTATGTGATAATTTGTTTATTTTTGTTTTACAGCTTTTTTTTAAACTTTAAATACGAATGGATAAGAAAAGAAGTGATGTAAACATGGGCATTTATGTGATGTAATTAAACTCCTAAGCAAATATAATGTGGAAAAGAATTTTAAAATCTCAAATAACTTTAACTAAGCAGCCTTGTTTTAAAGGACTTCCTACAAGTTATAGATCAACATTTACTAAATCAAAGCTACAAAGCTTCAATATGATGGCTTACACTCATCTAAATCCAGCATGTTGCCAATTATTTTTAAAATCAACAATCTCACAAGAAAAAAATCAATATTCACTGCATCATGATAAACCTACTATAATGGAAACCTTTGTTAATAAAACCCCAGCCGGCGTTCAACCTTATTTGAAATTGATGAGAATCGAAAAACCTACTGGTAACTATATTTTGTGTTTGTATTAAAAAAATATTTTTAAAATATTGTAAAATATATTTATGCTTTCTTTATTTCATTATTTTATCGCAAATAAATGCCAATATACATACTCATTGTTTTATTAGATATACTTTGTAAGCTTATGGCCAGCATCATTAATTTTAGCGTCATTAATTTTAGCATTATTAATTTTAGCATTATTAATTTAACATTAGCATCATTAATTTTAATTATTCTACTTTAAACACTTTTAAGGGTAATTTGATAATACAGAGTATTGAAAAAATTATATAATTAATACAGAGATATATGGTTAGTATTTAAGTAAGTGATTAACTGATTACTTAAATAAAAAAGTTCTGAATAATTATTGACATTTTACTTAATGCTTATAACTTTAGTTGGTACTTTGCATAAAATTATCATAAAAATATCATAGAATTATCAGCATTAAAATTATCATATTTTGTGAAAACTAAATAGAATTTTTTTTTTCATCATATGCAAGGAACTGAATTTACGAAAAATAAAATAAGTTTATAACTAGAGTTTAACAAAGCCTTGTATTTGTATAATTTAATTTATAAAATCGTATTGATTAATGCAACATATAAGTTGACGTAATACCTTAATTGATAAAAATTTAAAAAAAAGTGATCAACAATAAACACTGATAAAGACTAGAACTATGCAGGTTTATTTTGTTAATGTTGTTGGCCCTTTTACAAAAATCATTGTTTTAAAATCGGATATAAGTCAAAATTTGCACCTCTAAATTTCTATTTAATAATCACCTTCACATATGTTGCAATTTTCTAATTGTTTATTTTGCAAAACAGAGATTTGAAAACTAAGTAAAAACATGTGGTATAAAAATGCAATTGGCAAAATGATGATTATTTGCATTTGCACTGTAATAGATTCATTCGATATGAAACATTTAAATCTATAGTTACTTATATAGGTATCTTAAAAATTTATTTATTGGTGAAATGCTTTAATGTTTTCTATTCTCTTAAATAAAACAAATCTTGTTTATAGGCACATGGCTACTCTTATGGCCTTGTTATTGGAGTCTCTCTTTTGCAACTGCACCTGGTTGCTTACCTGATCCAACTTTATTAGCATTATTTGGTGCAGGTGCTGTTTTAATGAGGGGAGCTGGTTGCACCATAAATGATTTGTGGGATAAAGACATAGATTCAAAAGTTTGTATATGACACATTATTATGTAATACTAATTAATATCATTGACCACTTCTCCACTTTACAAATGTTTTATTTCACTACAACAGCGATTTGAGTGTTATTTAAATTTATGTCTTTTTACACTTAAAAATTTACTTAATGTCACTAGTCATTGTTTTAAATTGTTGCTTGTTTGAAATAAATTTTATTTTATAATTAAGCTTAAAAAAGATTAAGTAAAAGTTAATGTCACAAAATTTAAGGGGCAAGTAGAGGAAAAAGGTATAGTGCGATAAAAAAAAACTTTTAAGATTATAGATTTTCAAACACTGTTCATTAGACAAAAGAGATTTTTACATTTTAAGATATAGTACTTCCTATACATAACATTCTCTCTGCATGTTCAAAAAGATGTTATATTTCTCATAAATTAACAGATGTTACGCATCATCTACTTCAAATATTTTTTAAATTTAATGATTTCTTTGTGGATAAAAAAATTTCAATTTTATAATAGTTTTACAATTTATAAAAAAAAATTTAATTTTTCTCTAGGTGTCTCGAACAAAAGACAGACCCCTTGCTAGAGGTGATATAAGTACCTTAGATGCATGGATGTTTCTTGGTGGACAATTGTCTTTAGCCCTTTTAATTTTACTTCAGTTAAATTGGTACAGGTAAGAAATTTCCTTACTTTCCTGTATTTTTTTCTCTTTATTCTTGTTTGATAGAAGTGACAAAATTGTTGAACGTCTTCTTGTCTCTTTTAAATTATGTAATATTCTTGAACATATTCTGTAAATTTCATTATTTTTGTGAAAATGAAATATTTTTGAATTTAGGAAAATATTTAATCGAATATATTTTTTTGTATAAAATGTATATTAGGTTGTATTTATATTGATGTTTAGTTTAACTCATTTGTTATGTTTCAATTAGGATAATTAGAACTTTGCCTCAATATCATTGTGTGCATCCTTAAATTGACTTTTGTTAATTACATTTATTGAGTAAAGGGTTATAATTTTTTTTTCTCTTTGAATTTCATTAGCTGTTAAGTTAAATTATTGTTTCTGCAATCATTTATGATATAGTTTAACTTATGTTTAGAATTTCCTGAGAAATTTTACTTGCTATTGTATATAATGTTTACAATTTCTTTTAATTGAAATTTCTTTTTGTCTTGAATTTTTATTAGCATAGTTTTAGGAGCCAGTTCACTTCTACTAGTCAGTGTCTACCCTGTTGTTAAGAGATTTTCATATTTTCCACAGCTGATGCTTGGTAAGAATTTTTTAAAAAAATATTTTATGCATTATATAGATTAAACCTAATAATTTGATTTGAATTTATTAAGTGTCCTTTTTGTTGGTATGCTAAATTTATGCTCAACTTGTTTTCTCCATTCTTTTAGCTACTTGTGACATATGGCTCACAAGCAGCACAATGCCTACCTGCTTATGGTATATAGCCCTTTCTTATAAATGAAAGCATTTACAAGCACAAAAATAGAGATTTAAATAAAATATTTTTTTCATGATTAATGAAGCTTGTATAACTTAAATTTTAAAAGTTTTTTTTAAAGTTTTTATTTTTTTGTATTTTCTTTAAATATTGTCTGAGAAATTATTTTAAAGGCATGACTAAAGAACACATTTTTCTGGAATATATATATACAGTAAACTCACGATTATCTGCAGGTGGATCATCTGCACTTCATTCATTTATTTATTTATTTTTGCAATGATAAACAACATACCATCTAGAATTGAAAATAAATTTATAGAGATGGAACTATTTTAAGAGTTTTGAAAACAACATACTAGCAAATATTCATGCTCTTAGCTCAGATGTTCACAATTAATCAAATAATGGGCTAATATTTAAACATTGCAGCCTCAAGTGCAATACCTAAGTAAAAATGAGCATTGAAAGGGTTAAAATGGGGAAGCATTCATTTCAATAGGGAAGCTTTTTTTTCCGAAATGAGAAACTAAGTGGAGTCGTTCAAGCTGTAGAATATTTTAAAATGGAATTTGAACAGTTTCTGGCCTCAGAACTGTTCAGAACTCAAATTTATATAAATCAGAGGAAATTTGTGTATTATTTATTAAATAAAGACTGTATTAATCCTTAAATTTAAATTGTTTCATATCGGTAATTTAAAATGTAAAATAATTTAAATTGAAACAAATTGGTGTCTTACTCTAAGAAATATTAGTGTTCCCCCCCCCCAAATAATGCATATTATCTTGTTTTAGGACTTACTTTTAACTGGGGTGCCATGCTTGGTTGGTCAGCTTTACATGGTTCTTGCCAATGGTCATCAGTTCTTCCCTTGTATATGGCATGTGTTTCTTGGACAATGATTTATGACACAATCTATGCACATCAGGTTTGTGTATATGAATCAATTTCTTTTTAATATCTTAATTACATTAGATCCATGAAGTCTGTTTTTTATGTAGACATTGATAATTCTTTTTTAATCTAGTTCGTCCCGCAGTGGACTGATCGTTAAGACACAGTTCCCAGCAGATCACCGAAGTCAAGCATCACGTTAGTGTGCGGGTGGGTGACCACTTGGATCAGTCTGCATAGGGACCGAGAGTGTGCGGTATTGGCCCTTGTTAAACTGTGCTACCGTTAAGTGCTCAACTTCGCGAGCAGGTCGTCGGGCTACCGAAGCGGAGGTGCCATTCCCTCCGCAGAGGATCAAAATTGTGATGGCATGTCTTCAGATCATCATCTGGGATGTTTCCCAGACCGTCGCCAATAGCCCATTGTGCAGCTCTAGTGCGATGTAAATTAACAACAAGAATTGAATCTAGTTCAAATAATTACTATACAAGCCTCATAAACTATATATTTCTTGGAATTAAATAGAAAAACAATTTTATACTTTTCATAATATAAATTAGTTATGAAAATTAACTGTCTTAAGGCTAATTAGGCAGATGATTGAACCAGAAATCTTTGTTGACTTTGAAGTGTTAATTCTAGAATATTTGAAGTTTGAGTTAAATGTGAGTAAGGTTTGTGCTCGCACTATTAAAAATCTAGCAGTGTAAATATCATAAATTATTTTATAGTATTTCTCTTTTTTTTTCAAAGAGAACTTCAATTATTTGAAAGAAAAGATTAATTGACCATATTTTTTAATTATTATATTAGGTAGAATTTCTTTTTTTGTAACACCATTTTGCAGGTCGTTCTTTTAATTTTTTTTATATATATATGATATGCTTCCACTTTAATAATCATTGCATAAAATCAGGGATTCCAGAAACAACGAAGAGCAAAAAACAATTTTAAAGGGGTGCATTTGTTTTAAAATTCAATTTTTAATGTTGTTGGTTTTTACTAAATTTTTAAACTGAAGGAGAAAATAAAAGACTAGTTTTATCTCTTTAGATATGCAATATAGAAAAAAAACTGCTCCAATAACTGTCCCCATTAAATATTAAGAAAAAAATTGTCATACATTTATGTTGTGTTGTTCGGTGATATCTTGATATAAATTTTTTGCACATAAATATTTTCAGTGTTTTTCACTTTGTGTCACAATAACCCGGTCATGGGTTCACGCTGCCCATTTTTTCAAAATCAAATGTGAGTATGCTCTCTCTAAGAGAAGAAAATTAGGTGATTTTCGATCTCAAATTGACCCTATAGCCCCTGACTGCTGAAAGTGGAAACTAGCCATACACTTATATTCTTTGTAAAACAATTAAACAAACAAACAAAAGGAATAAAGATAGAAAAAAATCAATACTTAATGCAGTCAATCTACTTTATTTTTGCTGTAATGACTGAATTCTTAATTTTCAATATCTGCCTACACACAGGTTTTTGGCTTGAAACTAAGGCTTTTGTGTGCTGTTCAAGACCGCATGATACCAAAGTATTTTTTCAGGCATTTCTCCTAAGTAAGTGTATGAATCAGCAGACCTATGCACACTTTACATACAGCCCCAATTCTCTTTCTCCCAAATTAGTAGTTTTTTTTTAGCTATAGGAGTGTATTTAGTTTATCATTAATTCCTTTTTAGAACAGAAAATACTTGATGTATGATATGTTTACTTTTATTTTCAGGATAAAGTTGATGATGTGTTAGTCAAAGTTAAGTCTACTGCTCTTAAGTTTAAAGAGAATACAAAGTATTACTTGACAGGATTTTCAGTATCAATGATATCCTTTCTAGCTTTATCTGGCTACACTTGTCACCTGTCATGGCCTTTTTATACTTCAGTGGGAATCACTGCTGCTATGCTTGCTTCTCAAGTAAGTTCTGATTTTATTAAACAAATTTTATTAGCAATGTTTCAAATTTAAAAGGAAGGCTATAGCAGAGTTATTTTATACATTAAATATTGATATTTGAAGTTTCAGACAATATTCTTAACTGCACGCATTAGGAATTAATTGTGGTGCACTTTTAAAGGAATCAGAAAAAGTTTTACTGGTTTTATTTTAAGTTCAAGTCTGATATGATTTAATCGAAGCCCATCAAGCCTGATGGGCTATTCTCTAGAAAGTGTGACTTTTGTGTCATTTGCTTTTATTTTTCTTCATGAAGATTTTTGTTTTTAAAGAAACTGTTAAAGCCTTCTAGTTGCATTTTATGTTCATAAGTATTTATCAAGTAATATTCGCCAAAATGAGGTGGCGACAAAAGGGTTGAAACAAGTTAGAAGAGTTAATACATGTAGAAAGTTTCAGTTATCTGAATCTGATGCTTATTACATCTATTTTTTAGAAATTTTAAAATTATGTTTGTATGTTTTTAGTAGCTTAAACCTCCAATATTAATGTTTTTAATTTTTCAAATGAAAATATGCATTAGGAAAATATTAAATTTTATCATTATTCAATCTAATAAATCACAGATACATCTCTTGTTTCCTGTCCGTCTCCCAATAACAGACAAAAGTTTCACTATTTTCTTTGCTAGACAGCTTTTTTTTTTTTTTAATTTGAGTTTTTTAGTGTGTAATTTTTTGATAGAAAGTTTATTATAATATTTCCAGCTGTTAGATTTGAAATCTATAAAAATTGGAGACATTACTGAGGTACCAAGATTTATTTGGCTGAGGTTAAGTTTATGTGAATTTTCTTAAGACAGTTGTATCTGAAAACGTTGTTCGGTAATCTCACTCCTCTCATTCTTTATGTAAACTAAACTAAACTCAGTAGCGTGACAGCCCATAGAGGGCCAAGACCTACTGTGCCCACCTCAGTTTTTTGCGCTCTGGGGTGCAGAGGCAGATGTTCCATTTAGGTGGTCAGCCGAATGTGGAACCTCCGGTGTTTAGTTCCCAAGCATACTTGGTACTCATTTATTGACCCACTGAAGGGATGAAAGGGTGAGACAATCTTGCCCGGCCATAGGATCGAACCCAGGACCTGTGGCACGGGAGAATGAAGCGCTACCACTTAGCCACCGGGCGTCTCTTTATGTAAAACTTATATAAAAATTCCATTGCAATTTAGTGCAAAGAATTAAAATTCATTACAGTTGCAGTAGAACAATGATAAGACTCCTAAAATTAATGCATATTGTAGAAATTGGTATTGAGCTTGGATATTTTCTAAACTAATTTTAAAATATTACTATACAATGCATTTTGTAAATTTCTTCTTTTTTAAAAAAAAAATTCTTTAGATTGTTTTTAGCTTTCTAATCAAAAAAGTACTGATTCTTTAGCTACAGTTTGATAATCATTTATAGCTCAACTTCTATCAATGATTATTATTAAACGGAATACTATTAATTTTCGTACAATGATGGAAAAGAAAACTTTAATCTTTTTTTAGATGTCTTGCAGTGATTTCATCGAATAATGTACTTTTTTAATAAATACTTCAGATTTTAACTTTAAAAATTAATGATCCTAAAAGCTTAATTGATGATCCTTAGCTTAAACTTGAAATTCTTTTGCTTGTTTTTAGTTTTATAATAAAAAAAGTACTGATTCTTTAGCTATAGTGTGATAATCATTTAGAGCTCAATAAGGTCAGTGTATTGACAACAATTACCATTTTTAAACTGAATATTAATTTTAGTATGATATTGTAAAAGTGAATTTTTATAAATATTTTTTTCTAGATATTTTGCAGTAATTTCTTCTAATGATGTACTTTTTTAATAAATATTTTAGATTTCAACTTTAAAAATTGATGATCCTGAAAGCTGTTGGAAAGCCTTTAAATCGAATAGAAAAATTGGACTAGTCATATTTTTAGGTTTAGTTTGTGGTAACTTATTTAAAGAAGAATCAGATTCCAAAAAGAAGACTAATATAATATCACAAGATTCATTTTTATCGGAAACACATCTTCCTATAGCAAAGGCATTTCAATCTTAGTGTTAATATGTGACATTAAAGTACTTTAACTGTTTAAAATTTATTTAAACATTTTCACCAATATTTTAAATTATTAATAATTACATTTGACATTAATTTTATCACTTATGAGTTACTGATTTTTATATTGATTTAATTCTTATTAAGGTAACTAGAATATTCATAAAGTAAGTAATAAAATTGCAAATTTGATGCGTATGAATAATTAATTCCCTTTAAAAAGGTTATTTTTTTCATTATACCTTGTCTCACGTGAGCAAGTTAGCTAAGGTGATAAATAATCAACTAATTTATAAGTGTATAAGATAACAAGTAACTTTTTAATTTTGATGCCTATCAACATCTGATATGTTAATAAGTTCTGTTACTTACATATGAGTAACTTGGATACAAAACTTGTTAACATTATTTTGATAAAAAAAAATTTGTTAAATATTGTGCTAGATTTTTACATAAGTATACATTTTCCCTTCAATATCCAATGATTTGTTATTTTAATGCTAAAAGCAGAAGTTAGTCATATGCATTATTTGCAAATTAATTAAAATTTTATGTAGAAATCATTTTGCATGTAAAATACAACTGGAATGCTGCTAAGCATTTAAAACAAGTATGTTTAATTCAAAACAATATTCAGTATTTTATACCTGTTATTTTCTAGAAAGCATTTAAATTTTAAAAAATTCTAATTTATGATTTTGATTCTAAGATATCAATTTACTGTTATCAGTTATAATAAGTAGTTTAATTTTTAGACATTTATACTTGTGATACTTGCATAGTCCATTATTGTTTGTAAATATGTATTTATTTTGCATTAAAGTTAAAAAACTTGTTTTCCTTCCTCCTTTCTTTGCCTGACATTCAATGCTTTTTGATATTTGCTATCATTATCAATTAAGGCTTTATGTTAACAATGTTCTTTTTTTATACTATAAATTTGAACCCATTTTTTTTAAATCAGGAACTTATTTTGTTCTCAACAAAAAGTGTGGCAACTGATTATTTCTGTATGTTCATGAGCTTAATTGCATAGGAAAGAAGCAATATACTAATCTACCCAAAATTGTTACTAATTTGAATGTAATATATTTCTTACGTTGTAATATGAGGGAAAACCTGGAAACATCATGGAATTTTATTTCAACTCTTGCAAACAAATTATTGCATGAATGTGGATAGGATTATTTCCCTACTGTGCAATCCTGCACTAATTTGTTTGCATTTTGAAAACTTTTAGCATTTAAAATTTCATGGTTAACTCTTTAAGTTTACCTGAACTCGTTTTTTTCTATACTTTAAATTTCTTATGTAGGTAATATTAAAATTAATTTTAAACAATCTAAAATATAAATAATCAATGTCTATCTCTCAATATTTCTCAGCGACTGTGGTAAAATGATCAAAGGTTGACCAGACTGCAGCGCACTATAAAAAGATTGGGGAGCACTGAATTATATCCTCCTCCTCTGTGGAGAATAGTTAATCAAAGTGATGGTATTTACTAGCCATAATCAAGATTTTTTTGTGTAGCTATCTTAATTCTAATAAATTAAAAGTGTCCTTTCTAGACAGAAAAAGGATTTATATTCCTCTGTGTTAACTTATAACAACTGAGTCAACACAATTTACATTTTAGAATATCTTTGTTTTAGTTTATTCATTCAACATGGTAATTAAATTTACAAGGCTAGACTTTTAAAATACCTATTACCTTCAAATTTTGGTACATAAGTTCTACAAAACAAAAAATATTAATTACACAGGGGATTAATTAAAGGGGAAGCAAATTTTTTATTGCAATTATATTAGTACTTAATTCTGCCTAATTAGAGTGTAATTTCAAACCTCAAATTATTTTTGTTCCGAATACAACAGCCTTTTTTAGAAATGGCATTTTTACTCTATTTTTTGTCTGAATGTGCAAGTTTATAAAGAATGCATACATATACACTTGTACGTTCATCCGAAAATTACACTTTAGACAACAAAAAAAACGCGAGTCTTTAACATATCACAACATAAACTAATAGGTATTATCGTCTTTCTACCACTCCCTACATAGTAGAGAAGTTCGGATTCATTCGAGTGAATTTAAAAAAAATTCTGGTTAGAAATGTAATAGGCAACTGCGTAAAAACTAACTGAGAGAGAGAAACCGATTGCGTAATTGAAATCAGCGAGACGAAAATATCTAGGATTCGTTAAAAAATTTCATGCAACTGAAACAAAAAAATTGCTCCTCAGTATTGTAACTCTAGTGAATTTAAAAAAAAGTTATCACTGGTTTTGACAATGTTGTCAAACATTATAAAAACTAGTTTATAGAGTCCAGTTTCCCCAGTCTTATTATTTAATGAATAAAGGAAATATAGCAATACACTTAATTTAAACTGCTTTTTATGTTACTCCTAAAATTAAACCACTGAATTCATGGTACTGGAAGCGTTTTCATGAATAGAAGTTCAAGGGAAAACAAACTTAATTTTAAGAACAATTTAAAAAATAAAGCCCAAAAATCAATTTTTTTATAAGTTTGATAAATTTTATTTGGTGAGTTTGTTTGTATATTTTGAAACCATAAAAAGGATTACACAACCAATTAAGAATCACAATTTATTTTTCTCAAACAATATGGAGATCAGCTGCCTCTAATATTTACACATCTGCAAGGTGGGATGAAATGCATCCCAGTTGTATATATATATTTATTCAATGTACAATTAAATACAATTTACATTAAAAAAAAAGTAAAACTAGAATCACAGATGACTTGCATTTGAGCAGAGTCAATTAGAAAAAATCAAACAAACAAGAAAAATTAAACCTGAAAACTTGCAGCAACATAGCTGTCATAATTTATCACAATTAGAAAAAAAAGTAATAAAAATAAAAATTTAAAGTCACAACCAGAAATATAGCAACTTTGTGTTCAAGTGGATAAAATATTTTTTTAAAATTAAATATAATGAATTTTAACCCTTAAATCAAATTAATTTTAACTTTTTCAATTCATGAATAAAATTTATTTTTCAAGCATTTTCTTTTCAATCCAAAAACGAAAAAAAGAATGATATGGAAAACTTCATTAGCTCCACGAATACAATATTTAACAGTTATGAGATCCTATGAAGATCAGAATGAATTACCACTTTTCAAATTGTGTTTTCATACAATAAAGTCGATCATGGAGCAATGTACAATATTTTAATTATTCAATTTCTATAAATATTTTGCACAAAAACAAGTTTTCATGCAAGTTGAAAAAGGAAATTATGTAATTGTTTTATTAATTTGCAGATTTTAAAAAGTGTAATTTTTTTTATTAAATTATAATTGGGATATTCTTTGTGGTTTCAGATTAAAATTTTTTTTAGAACAGAACGTAAATGTTTTAATTTCTTTTTTTAAAAAAAATTATACCTAAATATTCTTTACATAAAAGGAACTTATATTATTTATCGGTGCAAGAGAAATGTTTGGAACACTACAATAATGAATATCTGCTGTTTTTTCTTTCCACAGCAAAGTTAAACATGAAGTTGAGTTTTGACAGTTGATAAAAATATTAACTAACCCAGGTCTAAATTAAAAATAAATACATGTTTGAAAAAAAGTACTAATACAACATTAAAAATAAAAACTTATTTCTAAATAATTCTCTAATTCATCTAATTTTCTAAAAAAAATAAGAACTTATTTCTAAAAATTATATTAAAATAAAAACTTATTTCTAGAACTGCATTAATTTCATTGGTTATAGGACATTTTATATAAGAAAACATAATCTGTGTCAAAAGTGAGAGACTTTCTTTAATATTTCAATTGCAATTTTCAGTAGTATAACAATTTTACTGCTGGAAACCAGTTTTCTTCAATACATTAACGGGATGAATAGGAAAATTAAAATTATAGCAAGAAAGATTGCTGTAAAAATACAATAAATATGATCAACAAATAGCGCAAGAATAGTGAAAAAGTCAATGGTAGTTAACCATTGAACAGGCGCAACTGGACAGTTCACCTAATAAACTTTCCGATTTTTTTAATTTAAGTGTTAGATAAAAATATATTTGGTGGTTTTGCAAGCATTTTTGTTTTTTGCAAGCATTTTGTTGTAAAACTTTTAGCAATAAATTCAGTATGATAAATTTTAAAACAAACCAGACAAACTAAGTGTCACGTAAATATGGGTCTTGTATACACAGGGCATCGTCAGAATGCCGGCTAAATATGGTACTCGTAACAAAAGAGGTTTAAGATTTACTGCAAACTAAAAATTTTAAACACAATATTTAATAACTGCTTATTTCACATTTACACTTAAAAGCTTTTAATAGTACAAATAATAAAAACAATTGAAAAATGAAAATTTTAGTTGGCTTATATAGTACAGCATGTCATATAGTAATTTCAGTCCATTCTTTATTTATTAATTCTGAGATCAAATTATTTTGTTTGCAATGAGAAATAAATCTTGTGAAAAAAATGTTAATTGAAATATATATATATATGCTATTTTATAATAGAAGTAATTAAATCATTAGAAAGTAAAAATGAAATTTGTTTTCTTTTAATTAAATAATATATTAAATATATAATTGGTTTTTATTACATAACCAAGTTGATACTTAGTTACTAATGAATAGTTACATTATTTTCAATAAAATAAAAAAATATAATATATAAGATATTCATTAAGCATTTTTTTCTTTGTGCAAAATGCGTTGCCTTTTGGTTAACATAAATCACAGTTTCTTAATAACAGATAAAACATTTTCTAAAATCAACACTTATTAATAAAATTATACACTCACATTTAAATTAGTTACATAGTTCAGCAATCACCTAAAATGGTGAAGGCGTTAAATACAACAGAATTGTTATTTGTTTTTTTTACAACAAAATCTACCTTGAAAATGTGATAAAAATATGTAAAACTCTAAGTTTATAGTTGTGGTAATAAAAGCATTAAACCTAATGCAAAAAAGAGATTTGTTTAATTACAATATACAAAAATTTTCTTTTTTAAAGATTTAAATGATATAAAAAATAATTAGAATTAAGAATATTTTTTTTTGGTATTAAAGAGTGCATAAACAGTTAATAGGTTATAAAAACTATTATATACATTAGAAAAGTTGCAATCAAATATGTTTTGCATTTGATATACACTACAATATACATTTTCAGAACACACAACAAACATAAAAATTAAATGAAAAATTTAATTTGAATTTTTTTAAAAATTAAAAGTATAAAATGAAAGGATTTGAAGAATCTAAGCTGATCTTTGCAGAAATATTTCCTTAACCATTTCATTTTTTTACACAATTCATTGATAAAAATTTCTTTAGTAAAGCTTAAAATTTTGGTTTTTGACTAGAACTGTAACATTGAAACAGTCACACAATATAATTTAGCCCCATTAAATCTACTTCCTAGGAGAACTCACAGTTACAACTTAAATAATTCAGTTAAAAACATTGCAAAATCATCACATCAAAGGTGATTGCTGAAATATATACATATATTATATATTAACTATATCAATAGTAAAAAAAAACTTATTCAACAATTTAATCCCATGGAGCATCAATATCATCCCAAAATTCAGGATTCAACTGGACAATTGAATGCTCTTGAGCGATGGCAGCAAGTTCTTTTAGAAATTCCTCCAGAACTACAGCACAAAGAATTGCATTTTTAGCCTTAATTGATTCAATCTCGCCCTCCAGTGAGAAAGGAGCTGGTTTGCTGACGTACCTATAGAAAGAATTCCACATATCATAAAACAAATCTGAGTCACTGTTATGGCCAAGTGATAAATGTTTCAAACTTAAATTGTTTGGTTTTTATAACAGACTGAAAGAAAGTAGATCATTATTTTAATCTGGATTAAAGTTTTTATAAATACAGTTGAACTTGTTTGTTGCTAGTCTTGATTTCGTGATTGAGATAAGGATTTTTTTTAATGGTTAATTTAATGTTAAAATCATACTTAAACCTGCGTTATACTCTTTGTAAATAGAATAGGCATCTTAAACTTATAAAATTTCTCCACTCTCTACACTTTTCCCCTCTCCATTCCCATGATTTTGACAAATCTTGCTTTTTTTTCACCCTACAGCAGTATGTTTTAATAAGAAGTTGAAACATACTGCCATGGGGGAAAATGCAAGATTAGCTGAAATCACAGTAACAGAGATGGGAAAAGTATGAAGAGTATAGTGCGACTCAGATTTAAAGGAATTTTTCCTAGAGTTAAACTGCGTAATTGAAGCTTTCTGGAAAAATAGGATCCAAATAGTCATAAGTATTTTAACTTCAGTAGTTTAAAACATTATTTTTAGCTAAAATTGCTCAAATTTTTTTTAAAAATCTAGATAAGCAGTAAAAATATAAAGTCCCTCATATCTGTTTTACCATGAAACACATACCCATTTCAGACACAAGCCTATAGCTAAGCAGTGGATAAACAGGAAATTCTATTCATAGTAACAAATATTACCATGAAAAACAGCAAATAGATTTTCCTGCTGTTAATGTGCCTGCTTTTATGCACTAATTGCTTGTGAATAATGCTCCGTGGTTAAGGTATTGAACTATCACGGTGAAGAACTGAGGTTCAATCCCCAGTGGCGGCATAAACCACTCTAGCCTCTGATTAATGAGTACCAGCTTGTGGGTGAAATAAAAGCAGCATGTGTACATTGCCACAATCACACTGTTGATTTCAAAATTGTGGAATCTTAATTTTCCATGATCCTTTGGCCCACAAAGGGCTGTTGCAGGAATGCTATGCTTTATAACTGGCGTTGAACAGCCAACCTAATTCAGAGTTTACGACTATCAATGTTCAACTCCATAGCCTAGAAATTTTTAACCCAATCCAGAATCAAAAGGGTCAGTAAATGGATGTGTTAACACGAAATTTGCACGCTTTAATAAAATAGTATTTAAAAAATTGGAATTGCAATCGCCACAAATCGAACGCGTCAGAAAGTAACTAAAAATCGAGCGTCGTAACTAACTTCGTATTAAAACACCAGATGTTGAAAAATGAAATGAAAATCAATCTACCGAAAAACGATTGGAAATCTATAGAAATTTACGATGGAATCATAACGAATCAAGCCTGCCAAAAAAAGTATCACTCTAATTTGCTTATTGTCAAAACATAATATTAGAATAATTACAAAATTAGTATTAAAAAAAAAAAGAAACAACAAAGGCTAAAAAAAAGACATCAGGAAATAACATGGATTTGAAAAATCATGTGAAAAGTGCTAAAAAAATAATAAATGACTGCTGAAAAAACTGTCATCAATTGTGATGGAATCATCATGAATCGAACGCGTCAAAAGTATTCAAATTCAAAAGTATAGTGTCCAATTTTGAATGTCATAATGGCATCGTATTAAAAATATCAGAATCAGATAAACCATGTTAAAGGAATCCAAAAAATAATTATTAATTGGGGATAAATTGTTATCAAATTATGACGGAATCGTCAAGAATCGAACGTTTTAAAGAATTGCACATTGTAACACATTCTAAATATATATGAATTAATTTGAAAAACAATAGGGAAGCAGNAAAAAAAAAAAAAAAAAAAAAAAAAAAAAAAAAAAAAAAAACTGAATTAACTAAACTACAGTAAAAATTATATAGCTTTATAATTTTTATGTAGAACAGTAATTTTAATGATTCCCACGAATTCTTAACAAGTAACAAGTTTAATTAAAACAGGCATGCTTTGAGCTTGCCAAGTCAAACTCCAGATTTCGACTCAACGATGTTAAATTCCCCAATTTTTTGGACAATTTCTAACTTCCCTGCTTTTTCAGGTAGCATAGCAACCTTGTTACAAGTATAAGTCAGTGCTTATTATTATTTTTTTACCTTAAGAATAAATTAAATAAAACCTGAACAATTTTTATTTTGATATCTTTTAGTTCAATTTCGTGAATAATAGCTTTTAATTTGCATAACTTTGACCAACCCAAGTTTAAAAAGCAAATTGCTGCAAGCCCTTAATTTTTATCATAAATAAGTACCACCGTTTATGGTTTTTAATGAGATACACAACTATCATGGAATAAAAGGTTTTTTAGTTTGTTTTAGAAAATGACCCAATAACATCATAAAATTTTAACAAAAAAATTCGCTAGTGAAATACTGTTACTAAAAAAATGATTTAAAATGTTTAATAACTACATAATTAGCTAAATATAAAATACTTTTTAACTAAATGATAACTTAACACTCCTAAACACTTTAGAAGAAGGGATGATAATGAACAAAAACGATTTTTTTTCTTTCAAAACCTAAGCTTTATCTTTTTGCAATACATAATAATTACATAAAAATTATTTCCAAACTTATTTACTGTATGAATTTTCATGGGAAATCACAAGTATAAGGCATTTTTAGCATTAGAAATTATACTAGAGTGATATTTTGCTATACTGCACATTTCAGTATATATATCAGACATATTCATGATAACTAAATACATCATGAAGAGCAAATATGAATTTATAGTTCTACATACCTGTATCCATGTCCATCAGAAATAGATTCTAACACTGGCTCTTTACTAAGGGCATTTTCTCTTTGTCTTAAGAAACTGCTACTTTTACGAAACAAGTAACTAGTAAGACTTCTACGTCGAGGTTCTCCTGTTAAGAATTAAAAGAATTATTTAGCTTTATTTTAATGAAAAACAAAAGAGAAGAATTTAAATAATAATTAACATATCTGAGTCAAAGCCTATATTTTTACAGTTTTGCAAAATTAATTTCATGTTTGAATCTTTTTTAAAAATAAAGTCCTTCAAATTGCGAGATTAAAAGCCCAATATGATAAAGGATTGAACTAAAAACAATGTAAAATCAACAAACTAAAATTTTATTTAAAATTTTGTTAATAATTTTTATTATTGATTGCAGAAAATGTGCAATTAAATTATGTTAGCACAAAACAGTAACAACAATTAGCTTAAAATATCTTTCACTTACGTTTGGAATCCACTTTATAGTTTGTTGCTTTGGGTTTTGATTATTTTAGCACTTGATTAATGGAACGAAAGTCATAAATGAGCAATTTTGGAAAGTCTTAAAAAAGATTTGTATTCTGAGTTTTTTTTGTTTTGTTGAAATGATCATTTTCTAATTGACATTTTTTAAGACTAAATACTTTGATACTTAAGCCAAATTGGACCAAGTTTGGTATTGGACCAAGTTTGGTATTGGACCAATAACTTTCTGCAATACAGTGTAATATCAACGATGAACAAAATGATAGTTATGTAGCTCAAAGACACTATTTATTATATTAACATGGAAACACTGTTTCAAAAACAAAATAAAGAAGTGAAAGGAAAAAGCTACAAATTTCCAAAAGGAGAAGCTTATTTTTAATGAATCTATGGGGAAACAGATCTATGGGGGAACAGAAAAATAATTGCTTCATAAAGAACAGAATCTGTCTGAAGAATCCCCATGCGTTAAAAGGTTACGGGTGCATATTAAATTTGTCAGGGTCACAAAGTCCTCCAAGTTCCCATAACAAATCAGTACCTCAGGGGTAATGAATTGGAGATAGATCGTTCTCTGGTTTGAGTTAATATTAAGTTTTGTGGATAAATGAATGTAGTATCAATGGGTCCTCGTCTAAAACAGACTGTGACACGCATGCGTGTGGCTGAAAGCATTTTTTTGGCCATAGATGGCACCACTGAAAAACAAGAAATGCATTCCTCTGCCTTAAACTCGATTGGTTTCCCATAGTAGGCTTGCTGGTATTAGCAAGTGAGATGAGAAACAACAACAGAATCACATTGTGAGGTAAGTAGTCAATTCACCGACTGGCCATCTAATTGTGATATCTGTCTTAATTAAGAACAGGAATTGTTTTTCTTTTTTTGAAAAATAGAATACTTTTTTAAGCCTTCAAAAATTTTCTGCAAAGCATTTAAATAATATCAATTTTAAAAATAAGAAGATTTTAAATGGAACATGGTTCATACCTCTTTGAATTTCTACAATGGGAGGACATTGATTTAGAGATCGAGAATAACTTCGAACAGTATTTGATTCTTGCATATGTTGAATCCTTGTGAAAAGAAACCGCTTACTCTGCTCAACTAAGTCTTCATAATTATCAACAGAATAGGAATAGCTGTCTACTTTTTGCTTCAAAGAACCTAAAACCTGACACAAAAAATCATTATCTATTTATTTGTATATTATTGTAAATTCTTATCATGTATTAATGTATACAATACAAATTACACTCAAATTATCAAAGAATCAGTTATAAATCATTAATAATTTTTTAAAGAAAATTATTAAATATTTTTTCACATGTTCATGGAAATTTTTTCTCAATGTAAATTATTTTATTCATTAAAAAGAAAACGAATTAAATTAATACAAAAAAGAGGTATTGCAAGTAAAATACTTTTCATTCTATAGAGCAAGATATGTTGTATTTTTAGAGCTTAGCAAAAATGCTCCAGCCCAGTATCGGGCACTGTACATTATTACAGCATCTGTAGATTTTCTTTTTAGTTTATTTATTTATTTTTAAAAGCAAACAAACTATTTGGGGAAAATGTTTCCTTTTAAAAACATCTCTAAACTTGTGTTTCAAATAAAAATTGAGAGAAGACCTTTAAAGATTTTTTTTTCTTTCTGTTATGTATTTACAAGCTTATCTATATAGAGATTTATCAATCTTTTTTAGTATCGTTGTATAAAATTCAACTTATATTCAAACATAAAGTGTTTTATATATATGAACCTTACGTGAGTAAATTTTGCTACATGTATCTTAGATTAAGCTGAATATTTAGAATGATAATCTTCGTCCGATTGTGTTGAGGTGGCAGACAAATTTGGATTTATAAAAATAGTGTTGCAGATTCATTGCGTAAATTCTCCTACCAGGCTTGGAACTATAAATTTTAATTATATTTCATTTAATACTTGGGAAGTTGATCTTTAAAGGCTACTGTTTAAGTCAAGTTTTGCTACATGCATCTTTGAAGAAGCTGAATTTTTACAATGATAATCTCTGTCTGAATGTATTGAGGTCGCAGACAAATTTGGATTTAAAAAAATAGTGTTGCAGATTCATTCCGTAAATTCTCCTACCAGGCGTGGAACTATAAATCTTAATTATATTTCATTTAATAGTTTGGAAGTCAATCTTTAAGAGCTATTGGTTAAACCAACTTTCTTAGCCAATACAGTGGGTCCTTCAAACAAATTTAGACATTAAAATAAAAAATCCAACATTTGATTTTGTTCTGCATGTTTACATATGAGACATATTTATATAAACATGACACATATTTATATAAACAGCCCTTTTCAGTACTGTAATGCATTTAATGTAGAACCATCCACAGAATAAAACCCCAACAGGATGGTTCTGGCTTTAAAACAATTGCATCCATTTCACTATGCTAAAATCATTTATAGGAAATATTATTTAAAAATCTATGGAGAAACATTTTAAATTCTTTTTTCTGCTATTTTAATTTACTTTTGTACAATTTTCCTCTCTATTGATGCATTAATAAAAGTCAGTGATATATTTTTTCCAATATCTAGTAGAACACAGTAACTTTGGGATTATTGAAAAAAAAAATTAAGTTTTAAGAACAACATAAAATGATGAGGTCTGCAAACAAAATGTTTTCCATGTGAGGGTTTACCAGCAACATAAAGATATTAAACAAGTACTGTAAATCCCAGTGTTTAAGTAAACTTTTTAAATCTCCAAATTTTACGAAAATCAGAGAGTCAACATAGTGAGACCGTTATGAACAACTGTATCAATTTACTCTTTGTAACTCTCTACTATGTACATATATCGTGTAATAAAAAAAGTGAAGAACGTTAAGAAATACAAGATTCTTATTAATATTTAACGACAGGGGCATTCTCATTCCGTTCATTGGCAGACTTGAAAAGATCTGTACGAATCAGACTCGAGAAATTAGTAATGTTTGAAACTTGTTTCTTTACTAAACTTACATTAAAAGTGGTTGCCAGGATCTGTTAGTCGCGAGAAGAAAAAAACTTTTACAAAAAGCAGGAAATTTCTGTGGTGCTTCTATAGATGTCATGTGTCAAATGATACCAGACATGTGGCAAAATGTTGACTCAAATGTAATCGTAAAATCTTTTAAAATGTGTGGAATTTCAAATTCTTTGGATGGGGTTGAAGGCAATTTTTATATGCGACTCAACAGATGAGAATGAAGAAGAATCCTTTGCAGAGTGGGGTTCTTATGATGATATTGCTAACGTAATTGAATCCAATACAGACGATACTCTGGAGTCATTAAATTTGTAGTTTTATAGAACATTTAAAAAGTTTTCATTATGTTATCTTTACTTATTCTCCCCGTGGCAGAATCGCAGTGACATGGCGACATTGTCGCAGAATGTTACAAAGTTCTTGCAGAAAGATTTTTCTTTTGAAAAGTAAAAAATTTTGACTCGCTCAATTTACGCCGATAGTATCGTAAATCACAGTAATGTTTCGATTGAATTTTCGGCAGTTATTGCTATTGATATTAATTTTTGCATGTTTTTAAAATATCCCGTTATATTTCAAACAATATGGAAAATTCGAATAGTGCATTTGAGTATTTACTTTCTAAAGCATAATTCTATCGAATATTTAGCAGTTATTGCTATTAATTTCTTCATAGATTTTAAATCCGATATCCTTTATAGAGTCCGATTCGAGTGATTTCGTCGTCGATCTTTTTTCCAGCAACGCATTGCAGGATTTTAAATTACTTTTTCATTGTGATGATTAATTACAAAATGCGAAGAGGGAAATAAATAGTGTGCCCCCCCCAAAAAAAAACGCAAGGATATCACCCCTAATATTAGAATAAAAATTATTATGTGTTCAATTTAAAAAAAATTATAATAGTTTTTGTTATTTTAAATTAGTAACAGATATGTTTGTTATGATTAAAAGTAGCTTGAAGAAAGATATTAGTGCTAGAGTTTTGTTGCAGATAGCTTGAAAATATTCTGCCATAGGGCTTATTCTTATTATTTTATCTAAATGTAATTTAAAGTATTGTTTGCGTGGCTGGGTGGCGCAGTTGGTTTGTCGTCAGCCTTCTGAGCCCAAGTCTGCGGGTTCGATCCCCGGCCCAGACACCGGATTTTCGGGATGCAGAAAATCCTCAGCGGCCATGTCGTATGATTATGCGGCATGTAAAAGATCCCTGGAGTGCCTTATTGGCTCTTGGCATTTCCGGCAAAATTAAATTCCTAGTGCACTTTAGCATCCAAATAGAGTCTCGGTGCCACCATCTAGTGTGGCAGAAACTAGACGTCCAAATTAACATGACCAACGGTATCTCACCCATTGTGGTGGTACTGAAAGAGTGGATACCACCTCTGGAGAAGGCACTAGGTCTGTTCATCGACAAGACCGATTGTGCAGCTCGTTGGAAATAAAAAAAAATTATTTTTGTTATTGTGTAATTTAAAGTATTGTAAAAAAAAAAAATTATTCATCTGCAAAGAAAATGTGATGATAGAAAAATGAAATTTTAAAGGTAAAACTATTATAAATCTTACCTGAAACAAGGATCGGACGGTTGGCTGGAAAACTAAGGAGGGATTTAGAAGAAATGACCGCAGCAGAGGCTGTGGGTAGCAGGCTAAACGAGAAATGAGACCAGTCAAGTGTAAATTAGTATATACATCATTCTGCATCATCATTTCTAGCCTTGCAAGTATAATGCTTAAAAATGGACCAATATTTGGAGTCCCAAATGACTCCCAACTTCCAGGAGAAGCTGGACTGTTACTTTTTGTACTTGTTTCAGATACTGATGTGGAACTTCTTTTTAAATCAGTTTTTGTAGAAGGAGGTATACTTATAAATAAAGAGGAGTTATTATCATTAGATTTGGCACTGATAATTGTCAGAGATGCATTGTCTGAGTCCTTTTCAGATATGCAACTGTCCCTACACTCAAAAACTCCAGAGTCTGCATTTGAGCATTCGTCTTTCAAATCGGCCGGTTCGGTAAAGCAGACGTGAATTCTACCTTCCAAGCCTACACCTGCGTCTAACTCATTGAAATAACTATCAATCGTTTGCAAACTGTCTTCGACGCTATCCTTGGAAGAAAGTGATTCTGTAGAACACACTAAGTTCCAAAACGTTGTTTCATCTTCTGCTTTGACTATTTGATCGAGTATGTCAGAAGGTATCGATCCTTTGTGATTGTCTTTCAAATTAGTTACTTTTTCTGTTCTTTCAATGGCAATAGATCTGTCCCTTTGTATTTGGTTAAATGTGTCCTGTAGAACTGCTAAATTTCTAGAGGACAGCTCCAAAACTTGGCGATCGGAGTTAATGTTGGCTTTTTGAAGTAGATGCTGATTTTTCTCATCTTTATTTACAGAAACTTTCGCACTACAATTTGTTTCACAACTATTAGGCTGTATTTCTTTAACTTGAGAGTCCGTAACAGAATTTGGAGGTGGATCGAGGCCATCGTAGGTAAACGACCAGCACCTACATGCGAGAGTACAAGTTTTCACTTTTTTATGAGCATCTCTCAAATAGTCCATGTAACTAGATAGTTGTGTTTCAGGTATGTTCACATACCATTGAGTCTTAGGAATAGCAGACTGAAGTCTTTCGAGTTCCCCAAAAGCAAAGCTATTAGTGGACGGTGATCTATGATGGCGCTTTATACGAAGACTTCCACCCCGGCTGACTGGTGGCAAGTTTTCCATGTGGTTGATTCCGGAGAATGGCAGCGATGACAGAGGCGTACTTTGGCTAGTTGTGAGCATAGAGTTTAGACCAGTATTATGAAGCACCGACGATGCTGGAATGAGAGATAAGAATTTGTCCGCAGCTTGATTGTACAAGTCCGCATCTCTCACTCTACTTCGCTGGCTCACCATAACATGAGAGCAAGGAATCAAATACCTGTAAGAGGAAAGGTTTTAACTTTTTTCATATTTACCAGAAGTTATTTTTTTAAATGCATTATTTAAAAAATTTACATTAATTTTAAGAACTAAGTATAGAAAATCCTAATTTTTTACTTTATTCACACAGTCTTGCTCTTAATATATATATTTTTTTTAAAAAAAACAGATAATTAATTTGTTTTAAAAAACACAATTAGTGAACATGCCTTAAATATAATTTGATTACTTTTTATATATTTTTGAATAGCTTCTGGTAATCAAAAAATGTTATTCAATTCATATACAGTCGAATCTCGCTAACTCGAACCTCGATTTTTTCGATATCTGGAAGAAAAGTAAATTCCCTTCAAATTTCCTATACACTCAATGTTAAAAAAAACTTGATTTCACGAATTTTTTTTTCTAATCCCTCGATAACTTGAATTTTTTTCTCTCCATGAATAGTGTAGATTTTTCTTCTGAAAATACAAAACTATTCCAAAAAAAAAAATTCAACAAATTAAGAATAGAAAATCAATTCTCATAATGATAAACTTTTTTTTAAAAATGGACATAAAGACTTCAGTGGCATGGAATGATGCGTCTTTCTCTATGATAATGAATGGGTTCAAGAAGGCTGGATTCATTAAAGATCACGTAAGTAGTCAAACAATCAATATCGTTAATCCTGCTGAAAACTACACTGAAAAAGATTGGTACAGATTGACCGGACTCATTAAACTTGATGACATGAAATTTCATGATTTTGTAAACGTAGATGATGCAGTAACAGTGCGTGGTCAAAGGGATGATAGCATCGCTCAAACGAACGCTTCTTGTGAACTATCAGAAGAAGAGGATGAGGAAATCGAAGATTTACCACCCAATGTTACTAACAAACAAGCACTTTCTGCAGTGGACACTGCAAGGAGATTTATTGAGAGGCAGCCAAATATGTCACAGGAGACATTTAAAGCTATAGTCCACTTAGAAAGTGTTACAAACTTCCTTACGCATCTCTAAAGCAAACAACAATTAAATCTTTTTCAAATGAAAGTATAAAAACTGTTTTTACAATAAATATGGAATAGTAAGTAAGGTATGTAAAGAGCATTTTTCTTCATTCTACCATCGATAACATTCGATTTTCGGTATCTCGAATTTTTTCTCCTCTCCCTTCAAGTTCGAGATATCGAGGTTTGACTGTATAAATTGTTGGTAGCATATGTATAGCATCAAATTGTGCAAGCTGAAAAAAGAAACTTTTTTAATTCTAGAAAATCACTTGATTAAATTAATGATTGATCTATTTTGCTAAACTTGCACCTAAAAACTCTTTTAATTATGTGGAAACGATAATGTAGAAGCGTGCATAACAAAAGCAAAATGTAGAAATCGAATGCATATATAGTAACATAAAAATAAAATAGCAATTATATTAGGTATAAGTATGATTCATGAAAAAAACCAATATTGACGTACCTAAAAACTAATTCAAACAAAACATCTTCGCAATTTAGTTCCAGCAAACTTTGAAACAATGACATCGTAACAAGACAGAGCTGTAAAGAAATAATAATACATTTTACACTACTTATTTCAGGAACTAAAAAGTACTACTAATAAAATAATGATATACTAACCCTTGTTTGTGCCCCTAATCGATCAACTAAAGAATTTAAAATTCGATGACCATCATAACAGGAACTGAGAATGAATTTCAAGAACATTTGTATTAAAATTGGTTCAGTAATTGTACGTATGAAAAGTTCCAAATATGCAGTAGTAGCAACAATTTCCTCTACTGTGTTCTAAAATATAAAATACATTGATTTCTAACTTTAATGCAATGTTGAACTTGGTGAATTTTTATACACAATAAATAATTAAAAACCGAACATCAAGACATCAATAATTGAAAAATTTGGAATTTTTTTTTCTTCTAGACAACTAAAGTAATAAACTTAATATTTGTTTTGAAAATAAAATGTTTCTATAAAAATTAATTATTTTACTTGTGCTCATTATCTAACTTAAAACTATCAAACATATCTTCAAACAATGCAGTCAAACTTAGCTCATAACAAGTCTTGATTTAACGAGAGCCTAGATCTGATGAAGAACTCAATACTTGGATGTTACAAAGTTAACTGCTTCCATGATTATCCCGAGAAAACTCTGGTGCAGCAGAATTTGTCAGTACGTTTTGTTTCCTCACATTTTTACTGGGCCAGAAGCCAGAAAAAATAATCTGCTGTGATTGGAAGTTTGCAGTTGGATTGTGGGACTGCACACGTGTTTTGAGTGATTACATATACAATGGTCGCTAAATTTACATAGAAAAAAAAAAGATGTATCACTTCACTGGCATTTGGAAAGTATCACCTTGCGTTGTTCCTTGATTGAAAACTATCATACAAAGACAAATATTTAAATTTTTTTCATTTGCCTGAGAAACTCAGATTAGTAATCTAATGGTAAATTAAATATTTTTTAGACAAAAAAAATTATAAATTTTGACTTTTTCAAACTTCATCAAGAAAAATAAATAAAGTTATCACTTTTACACATAAATAAATTTTCCAGTTTCAAATATTTTAATAAATTTTGTTAAAGTACAGATGTTAAAAATTAACATAAAAACCTACCAATCTTATATTTTTAAATTTGAATACGTAAAAAAATCTAAGGCATTTTATACAAAAAAAAAAACAAAAAACACAATAAATTATTAATTAAGTTTGCTAGCAACATGAAAAATTAAAATTATTTGCTGTCATTTTTTTTCCCTTCTAAGTCGTGCAATTCAATTTTTTCTTTCTTTTAAAGTTGTTCTTAAACTATTAGATTTCGACAGCTAAGTCATATAATTTAGTTTCCGTGCTTCGACAGCAAATTCATTAGCGGACTTAGTAAGTTCATCTATGCAACGCAATAATCTAAGGAGTTTTGAAGGAGTCTGCAGGCACCCTGAAAATGGTAAGGAATGCAGTTAAGTCTATTGGGGCACAGCTTGTTTTAAACAAACAAAACCTGGTTTTAGTGAGCAATATTTTTGTGATTCAGTCTACCTTTCCAGCTTAGCTAATACTTTTTCTAAAAATTTGTATAACATTTAATACATAACTGGAAGTTAGTAATGAGTTATAAAACCAGCCAACACATGAACCTTTTTACAAGTGCAAAATATGATATTTTTCAGGTCATGAGTTCTATCAAAAGAACAATAACATAACAGAGACTGTTCATAGCAAATTAACTAACAAAGAGGCAGCAATACTGCTCAAAGCAAATTAACTAACAAGGAGACAATATGACTGTTCAAAGCAAATTAACTAACAATGAGACAATAAGAATGCTCAAAGCAAATTAACCAACTTATTTTGTACAATATACAAATAAAAAAATAAAGTACTACATTTATAATTTAGTAAGTATGTTGGAACTTTTATAATTTTTCACAAATACATTTTTAACCTGTACTCCGTAATTTCAAATAAATATTGCAGTCCCTTCGCACTCGTTATAAGCGAGTTTGAATGTAAATTTTTCTTAAACAAATTTTACAAATCAATTTTAAGCAAGTATGGTATAGTGCAGATTATCCGCACAGGCCAGGATTAACGCCAATATGGTTAACAAAAAATCTGAATAACTGTATAACTTTAAAAAACTTTGATATCAATACATATTAGCGATGGATCACTCTAGAACAATTGCAAGTTCTATCGGTTTGGTTTCGATTGGCAGGTTTTTACTGAACATAAGACAAAACAGAAATTACAAAAGATAATAAAATAATCAATACTAAATAACACACAAATTTAGATATAAATAAAGGTACTTTTAAATGGAAGTAAATTTCATGCCTTAGAGCTATTTTTTGTTATTGCTGGTGAACTGAAGAGTTAAGTGGTTTTACAAGCATCAGCCAAAGCAGATATATGTTTTTCTTTCATATAAAAGTTTTAAAAGAACAGCAGACTACTAGAAACACAGTTGTTTTGCTCATTGTGGCAGCTTTCAGATGAAAATAAAGCTAATATTAAAAATTTAAGCACACTTATATGAAAGTTGAGTTAAATATAAAAAATTTAATAATTGGTATACTTGTTATGTTAGTATTGGTACCTTATGAGCCTTAACCAAAAACGATTATACGTAGGTGATAAAATATTAAAATACATATACTTCACTAATAATATTAGACAATATCCATTTAAATAAAAGAAAAACTAAAATTATAGTAACAAAAACAAATCCTTAAAATTGTAAAAAATTAAAGACTTATAATTTTTATAATCATAATGAATTAAAACCAGCATGGTTATTAAAACTAAAAATACAAATAAGTTATTAAAATAGCAAATTATCCACTCTAACATAAATGTAATACAGTAAAATAAAAAGTATATTTAAGCTTGAACAAAAAAGTAGTGAAAAGAAAAACTAAAGGATATAAAGAAAAAAAAAACTAAAAATTGAATAAATTATAGTACAAAGGTAAGGTTTCTTTTTTAAAATTATAAATTAAATAATTTAGGAAATAAATAAAAGAAACTATTGCATTTTGAGTCAGAAGAATATTGCTCAGAAAATTAGTCTTACATGCAATACGTCAATGCGTGCATTATAGCATGCACAGTTTTGAAGGGGGGTGCTAAGAAGGCTTGTTAGTCAATAGAAGGATTGTCAAGTAAATTAACACCATTAGTCCAAAGCCACAATGAGGAAAAGCAACTGCGTACTGACCAAATACTTTGAAGTGTTTTCAAGCCTTTCAAGAGGCACTGCAACAGCATCCTGGTTCCCAGATAATGTGACACAAACAACGCAGCAACGAGTGGAAAATAGAGAGAAATAGGGTGTAATTACTTTAGAATTGTGCATTATGTTATTGTACAGAAATGTTATTACATATGAGACAAAAAAATGGAAAATTTATAAGAAGGAACCGTATGCAGTCTAAGAAATAAAAATTGCAAATACAAAAATTTTTTAATTTATAGATTAAATAATATGCAAAAATTTTTGAAGAAAGACTAATTTTTAAAATATAATGGTTTAAATTCAACATTACAACTCACAATTACACAAAATTAAAAAAAACTAAGAGGACGTGAATTAATAGAGAAATATTTAAAGTTAAAATCATTATTCTGGTTTGTTGCTAAAATAGGTCACAAATAATACCTGCTTTTAATATCAAGAAAAATAAAACAATGATGTAATTGAAAAGGCAACTCAAAACTATCTTTTAAATTAATATATGCATCAAATTAATTTAAACTAATGACAAATTTTGTTATCACCCAATGACAAAACTTAAAAGAGATTGAACTTTTCAGTATAATTAGTGAAACTAGAATCAGAAATTAAATTAAATGCCTGCGGAAAAAACTGTTCTACTCTTATAGAGCTTATATAACATACTATCTTTTAAATTAATATGTGTATAAAATTAATTTAAACTAATGCAAATTTTGCTATCATCCATTGAGAAAACTTAAAAGCGATTGAACTTTTCAGTATTAATTGTAGAACTAGAATCAGAAATTCGCCCGGTGACTGAGTGATAGTGCTTCACGCTCCCATGCCACAGGTCCTGGGTTCGATCCTCGGGCCGGGCAAGGTTGACTTAGCCTTTCATCCCTTCAGTGGGTTGATAAATGAGTACCAAGCATGCTTGGGACTAAACACTGAGGGTTCTGACTCGGCTGTCCGGAACGTCTGCACCCCAGAGCCCAAAGTCAAGAAAACTGAGATGGGCCTTAGCCCTCAATGGGCCGTCGCGGCACTGAGAATAGTTTTTTTATTTTATTTTTAGAATCAGAAATTAGATTTTTAGAAAAAAAACTGTTCTACGTCCATAGACCTTACATAACATGATACTAGTTTTTTACAACTTTTTATTTTAAGCAACATGCAAGTAAAATATTTATAGAAAAATTCTAAAATTTTCACACAAACTTGATGTTTGTACAAAGTATCCTACACTAAATTAATAACTTCTTGAAGTAATATTCAAATTTTTAAAAGTTAAATATAGAAACTTATCTTTAATCTAAAAAATTAGTTTTTTAAAGCCTAAGTTGAATAAAAATAAATTTCATTCTTCATCAGAAAATACATCAGTATCATTGAAATTCATGAATTTCAACGAAGAAGATTTTCCAGAATTCTTGAGGTAGTTAACCCGCAATAAAGACTTATTGTAGCAAATTTTAAATTGTGTATTCATATTTTCTTTAAAGAAGGAGAACAATGTTTGTAAAATTGTGGGTAAAATTTCTTTTTATTCATAAATTAGAAATGTTTCTTATAAGGACAGACCAAGATGCTTAAATGGGATTAGAACCATTGGACTCAGTATGTTAAAAAAAAAAATATAATCATTCCATAATACCTGATGAAGAGCAGGTCCCAAAACTGGAACTAAAAATCCTTGATATAAATATTCCATCAATTGTTCTTGAACCATTGGATGTGCGACCTTGAAAAATATTGGGAATGAAATTTTATACAATTAAATATAATACTTCTGTAAAATAGCAGAATGAGTTAAATTAAACAATGCAATACATTTATGCATATTAAGAAATGTTTTTACTCAAAAATCAATAAAATAATTTGGCTATTAACCCTTGCACAATGAAGTTTTTCCATTTGCACTAAACTATGATAAAAATGTTGTAACAAAACAACATTTGACCCAAAACAATTCCATTGAGTTTCAACATTTTACTAAAATAAAATAATTTTACAATACTGATATAGCGTAAACTGATGCTACAATAATTTTCACACAGAAGAGTGGGGTCTATTGTGAATCCCACTATGATTTATCTATTAATCCCCTATAATGTATCAATTCCTCAATTTTTTTTAAATAGTTGACCTTCCCAATATGTATTACTAATCATATTTTTAATTATTTCACAAAATATCATTAACCATAAAAGAAAATAATGATACAGAATAGACAGATAACAAAATAATTTCTTCCAAAATGAGTTGGGAAGAAGGGTTCATAATAGACAACGCTCAGCAATAAAACAAAGCTCTAAATTTTGAAATTTTATTTAGGTTGTAAAGACATTTCTCAGTATAATAAAAAATATGGTTAATAATACATATTAGACAAGCAAACTACTAAAATTTTATCTTTAGGAAATGTGAACAGAAAATAGTATTAAAATGTCAGGGTGCAGAAAAATCTCAAGAGCTTAAATATTTCCCCAGCACACAGGTTTTTTGATTTGAAATTTTCCCTAAAATTATAATGCTTTTTTTTTTTAGCTACGTTAAGAGTAAAATCTGTTTATTGTTAGAATTTTATGATAGCAATTTTTTCTTTATCAAAGAAAATTTTTTTTTTTTACACGATTCTTGAATAAACTAACATATGCGTTAAAAAGTAACAGAAATCAAAACTCACATCTATTTTTGAAATAGCAATAATTTATAAAATTAAATTTAAGGTCTCACTCATAAATTTAAGACTTCAAACTGGCAAATAAAGTTATTTGTGATATATTTAACGTAACACAAAATATTCTTTTTATTTTTAGACAGTAAGTTGGCATGGTATGTAAGAGTAACCAAAAAAATCTTCCCAGGACTCCCTGAATCTTGCCCCAACTTTGTTTGCACGATCGGACATATTCTGCACCCCTGCTATAGCAGTAGTGACACAACGAATTGGAATCCATACTGGATTACACTTCATTATGCGAAGGTTGATGCACTTTTCGTGAAATCCTTAATGCATTTCAAAATCCACTTAGTAATTTAAAATTATGCTAACCTGTATCACAGCATTACAGAATTCCAAAGAATTCAGAAACATGGCTAATTCAGGCATTTCTGAGATGTCTTCTGCTGTAAACTGATGCCAATCTTCAGGAACGTGAGGCAGCTTTCGCGGTAGAACAGAATAGAGTCCGCTCAAACCAGTAGCTAAAACCTACAAATTTATTTAATGAAAGATTTTTAATGCACAAGTTACTGAGAATGAGAATATAAAAATATGGAAACAAAACTGAACTCACTGGACAGAAATTAGAATGTTCAGCAATATAAATTCCTATACTTTCATTCCTTCTAGATAAGGCCATGCAAAGTAATAATGCATCTCTTGCTTGTTGTCCAATAGAGCCTTCACGATGAACAAAAGGTATGAGAAGAGAAAAAATCAAGAACCTACAAAAAGAAAAATAAATTATGACAAAAGGATGCTTAAATGATATTTGAACTTATTACAAAGCATAGCAGTAAGGTCCAAACAAATGAAAAACCTTCAAATCTAAAAGCCCCCCCCCCCCAAAAAAAACGAGGGCAAAACTATCATGATTTTATTTTTACATATTAATTTTTTTAACAGTTAAACATAGAGGGCTTATCCCAAAAAAATTTATAATTGCCTAACAACAATTAACTCTGATATAAAAATAATGTAAAGATATTAAAATCTACTGTGAAAAAATGAAAAAATTAAATAAATGTAATTTTTTTTAAAATCAAAACATCTTGAATAANTTTTCAACAGTTAAACATAGTTAAACAACTAAACAGTTAAACATTATTCCAAAAAAATTTATAATTGCCTAACAACAATTAACTCTGATATAAAAATAATGTAAAGATATTAAAATCTACTGTGAAAAAATTAAATAAATGTAATTTTTTTTTAAATCAAAACATTTTGAATAAAAATTTTAAAAAATTGTTTAGAGAATATATTTTAAAAGTATGATTTAGTTCTTGTAAAGTAATACAATATATATATATATATACAAAACAGACAATTTGAAACTTAAAATTTAGTACCAAAAAATAGGGAATTCTTTGAAATTGGGTAATTTTTTTCTTAATCTGTCTGATTATGTTTTTTTAGTCAATTTCAATGGTTAAATAGGTGGATTAGTAAGCAAACAATTGCAGAAAAAAACTAATAGTTGGTTAAATAAACACAGGGTTACTATAAAAACAAATTGCTAAAAATCTATGCCAGTTAACTATTATATTAGAGAAACAATCTAAATATAAACAACTATGCCAAACTTAATAAATATATATTTTCAAGATATAGAATGTAAAATAATATTTTCTTTTCAGAGGAAATGTTGAGAGTCCTTATTATTTGAAAAATAGAGTTGAAACATATCAGACACAATTAAAAATGATTTTCTTAAAGGCTTGAAAATGTTTTTAATTCATCAGGTACAAGTTTAAAAAAAAAAAGAAGAAAAAAAAGCATAGCTTTAGAAAATTATTTCTAATTGGATTATCTAGTACAGGTTTCAAACTATTAGGCACATAAAACTTATACAGAGTAAAACAAAAATAAGTTATTTTTGAAATAGTAAAAGAGGCACAATTTTATAATGGTAATTAATCCATGGTATGTATGGTATTTAAAAACATACAACAAAATACTAAATTCATATGTGTCAAAATATTAACAGGTGAACTATGAAGTTAATGTTGAGCAAGAAAAATTCATGAATACATAAATTTCAAATCTGAAAAATACTTTACTAAAATTCAGACAGAAATCAACAATTATTCAAAAATAAAAACAGAAATTACAAGATAGATAAGAAATTATAAAAGCCAAATAGAATAATGAAATAATTAATGAACAAATATATTTCTGCATCCATCAAATGCAAGGGAAGGTTTCAGAAATACATACATTTACTAATTACAGAAATAGTTAATACAATGATGGGAAATAAAAAGTTAAATTAAGATAAGATAAAAACTTAAGGTATAAAGTGAAAATATATCTTAAATTAAAAAATAAGAATAGGAATAGAAAATAAAGGTAATTACACTGAAAAAACATCTCCATGCCACCTCTTTAAAACAAATATGTAAATATATATATAGAGATAGCGAGATAAATAAATACACATACACTTTTTTCCATGCACATCCAATACTGATTCAGCAATAATCCATTTTTCACTTTTTGAATAAAAATATTAAGACATTGATAAGTCTAGTTCTTTTTTTAGTTAAAGAAATTTTAAAAAATTCAAAGGATTCTTTTAAAGCTATGTATTTGTTGAAATGGTATGTTCTGAACAAAACAAGAAAAGAAAAAAAAAGAAAAAAAAAACAGAAATATCAGGACAAAACATTAAAAACAGGACAGACAAGGGCAGAATGTTTTGTATCAGGAAAATCAGGATAACTATGAACTCTGCAAATTAATAACTAAAAATAAAGTTTTTTTTCCTATTACAAAATTAATAAATTAAAACTAAGCTATTTTATTTATAGTTTATAACATTAGAATAAACTCTAGAAAGCTCAATCTGAGATTAATATTTCCTTAACAACTAACATAAATTTGTATGGAGAAAAAATGCAGCAAATGATGTCTCGAAAAAAAAATTAAGAAATTTCTTATTCCACTTATTTATTTTTCATAAAAAAAATAACTTCATTATTGTCTAAAAATGTTTCTAAGATCATTCTCAATTTAAACAAGGTAAAAAAGGAAAGTCATTCCAACAATAAAAACATACATGAACACTATCACAATAATACCCAAAACTAACACAAACTGCATATCAAAATGAAAAAAAAAAAAAGTAACTAATAAAGCAAACCCATGCAGCATTCAACATACATGTCTCGTTTTTCAGACCTTGTTGAGCCATGGTCAGAGCTTGCACCAAAGAATACTTGAAGTAAATCAGGAAACTGAGTTAAGCAGACACACAATGTATTTAATAAAATAATTAGCCTTTTTTCAACTTCAACAGGAATACCCTCTCCACAAGAGGCCAGTAGACGTAAGAGTGGTCGAACAATAGGCTTATGGAAAAGTAAATCTTGATGACAATTTGTTACTAAAACCTATAATACAAAAAATATCATTAATATTTACATAATAATAAAAAACTATAAGTTTTTAAACAAATATGTTTGTGTAACTGGAAGAACTCAGCAATGTTAGTTCTTCAGTGAGAGAGTATAAAATATTCAGAGGTGAAACCTGCGTAGGTTGACCATGCGTTGCTTTAGTGGCTAATTTATAGGGCGTGAGTCATTGTTTTTTTTAATATCATGTTATTCTTACACATATAAGAAAAATGGATTTAATATAGGTTATTATGTAAGATAATAGTTTTTCCATATAGTCAATCCATTAAGGGGTTTAAATAAGTACTTCAAACTATTTTGCATCTTCAGTGAAATTCTAATGCATAATAGTTTTGTTTTTTTTGTCAGTCAACTTTTGAAGGGTTAGGAACATCATTAAATAACATTCCTAGACAAATTTGACTTATTTCAGCAGTCAACATACAAGATAGACATATGGTCAAGTTACAGAAGTTTTGCTCTCTTATTACATAAAATAAATTCAGTTCTTGGTAAGAAGGTCAACTTTGTTGCTGTTGTTTCTAATGTCACTTGCCACACCTGCTTGGTGAAACCGAGCAAATTTAAGGCACAGTGTGAGTTTCTTGTTTTTCAGTGGCGCCATCTATGGCCAAGGATTCGACTTCTGCCACACCATATGTCGCACTCGTTTATAGGGTGGACCCATTCATACATCCATTCATTCATCCACAGATTGTAATTTTGACCTAAATCAGAGAATGGTCGATCTTCAATCCAGTATCCCCAGAGGTACTGATTTGTTACGGGAACATGGAGGACTTTTGCGACTCGACAGATTTAGCATGCATCAGTCACTTTACTAAACGGGGAGTCTTTGGTCAGAGGGGTATGAACCCACGAACTCTCAGACATGGGTCCAGCGCCCTACCGACCAGGCTATCCCGGCTCGGAAGGTCAACTTAAGACAGATGATCAAATTTAACAAGTTTCACTATACTACAAATAATGTAACAATAAATTATTTGTAATGATTCCAAACCTTTCACAAGGCTAAAGTTCATTTACTAAAGTTCTGTTTTCATGCTTTAAAACTAGTAAAGCAATTGTAAGTAAGAGCTTAAATACTCTACTGCCATTTTGAGAATATCATAGAGTAGTTTTCACTTGTGAGTAAAAGAAACTATAAACTAATTCATATTGATTCAAAGCTCTATTAAACATATGGTTTATAGATAAATTGACGTTAAGTTTGGAGTTCTCGTTATAGCATGACAGTAGTTTCATTTATCAAAAAATTAACTGAAAAAAATATTTTTTTAATTATTAAAGTTTTTCTTCAGTTAATCATAAATTTCAAACTTAGATTAAAATAAAACTTACTTCGTAAAATTTTAGCTGCTCTAATTTTAAGGCATTTACGAATTCTCCAGCTCTTAAAGACCAGGTAAAAAGTTTATCTAAACAGCCTTCCATTAACAGATAGCTTAAAAGTGGACCAGTTGGCTCTGGTTCACTCCCTGGAGTTCCATTCGTCAGGCAAGCTGGCGATTGTTGTGCTTCTTGCAAAAGGAGTGTAATCATCTGATCCAAATTATTAATAACACCAGTGACATCATCAGATGTCGGCAATGTTTGTTGCCATGGCCTGAAATAAATTTTAGAAAATTGCTGAGCGAATAGAAAATAATATATATAGAGTAACAGAAGTTGTTGATATTTGGTAAGAAAAGAATAATGAAATTAAAACTTCACAATAGATCTATATTTAAGTGCAGATTTTAACCAGATAATATAGTGACTTCATTTCCAATAAGGGTTTTAAAAATGTATATTGAGGAGAAAACATATATCAGTCAGGGGTCTGTCCAGACATTTTGTAAAAGGTCCGTTTTTGTAAAATTGTGAAGAAAATTACTCGTAATTTGTGAATATAAAATAAACGTCAAGTCACATTCTTTCAACCAGGTTCCGCTTTTGAGAATTTGTGCAAATAGGGTCCGTTATTGCATAAAAACTTTTTCAAGGAGTTTTTAAATTGTAAAGAGATACCAAGATTATGCTCAACACTGCAAAATTATAATTAAAAAAATTAAATATTAAAAAATAAAGAGCAATTGCAGCTACTAAATTAGCGATGCAACATACAAATATTTGGTATTTAGCCTTAACTGCTGAACGCAGAATATTCATTTTGGACGAATATAGGAAGAAGCGTCTGCTGAGGACAAAATTTAGTTCGTTTACACCTGTCTTTCTCCCCCCCCTTCCTAGGAAGGGTTTATTTGATTAACAAAACAATAATAAAGATAAACAAATTTGTGAAGGGTCCGATTAAAGGATAAGTATTTTGTGAAGGGTCCGATTTTAAGTTAAAATATTTTGTGAAGGGTCCTTTTTTAAGTATAAATATTTTGTGAAGGGTCCGTTTTTATGAAAAGATATTTTGTGAAGGGTCCGTTAACGGACCCAAATTTCTTCTAAACAGACCCCTGTCAGTGATAAGATAATACTCCAAAATTACTGTACAAATAAATCGGCAATTGACCCTCTAGTTATTTAAACTTAAGATTTCATAGTTTTCTTTTTAACTGTAATCAACAATTTTCAAAAGGTAAAATAATCGAAAGCCCTCTAACAGATCCTCTTAAAAATCATGTGCATATTTTTTCCATTGGTGGCTTTCCCTTACTTTTTTTATCCTAGTGATAATTTTTTTAGTGGTAAGTACCATCAATATTATTCTACTTCCAAAGAAAATGTTAATGATTTACAAGAATGATGCAATGATACTTTAGAAGCTCCAGAGTTGCTTACTTACAGAGTTGCTATTTTCTTTGAACAGTAAATTTTTTTTTTACAACCACAATTTCTGGTGACCTCTTTGATTTGATTACACATTGTGTTAAATTATTTCATAAATAAAATTTTTCTGAAAAATATAGTGAAAAGTTTTTTTTTTAAAATTAAACATGTAAAAATGGAAATAAAATACTGCTATCTAAATCTCTAAAGAGTACATAAAAAAGTTTTTGAATTGTATAAAAAATTGAATACAAGAAAACTTAGCTTTAGGATCTAGGCAATTCTCACAGAATAATAAACCACTTTAATGCAAAAATAGTTTTAAGTTTTCCAGATTTAAGTTATGTAAGTTTAACTATGAATCAAGATGAAAAGTATTTGCCTAAACAGGAATAAACATTATTATAATTTAATGCTTACTCAGTTTAAATTGTACACATAGAAAAAAAATAATAACTTGCACAAAGTTCAAAACCATTTATTTTTATCACAACACATCGCAAAGTCATTTTGGAAAATGCTATGATTCTGCAGTCGAAATAATTCTTTAGAAATCAAAAATGGATCTTCTAGCAAGATTCTACACCAGCACACTACGTAAAAGGTACTAAAAATGGTGCAACATTTTCCCAACTTTCTTAGAACACAAGGATTACGACTTTATACACCACATTTGTATAGTATGGAATTTTTTGTTCATTCCATCTTGCCAAAAAGGGTTTGTGTCCTATCTGTACCTCATAAGATTTTGAAACTCTTTCCTCCATTACCCCCAAAAAAACCTTATACTAGGTATGGGACAAAATATCATTGGTGAGTCGCTAATCATAACATAAAACTTTGCAAGACGTTTAAAGCTTCGTATTAAGCCCGAAGGTGATCACCTATCAAAATTAATGGGTAAGTTATGATTCTTTTCATGTTTACTAGAAAGATTGACTTTGATATTTTAAAATGCTAAAATATATAAGCATCAAAGTTATTACTTGTCACCATGTATGAGCTAAGTTTATTTACCCATTTTTGTCAATGATACTATATGCTTGATGCCAATGTGTTTGAAAGACCTCTAGGCATGCACCTTCTGGCAATTTAGGTGACAGAGAGAATGAATATTTGCGAAGGCTAGATCGCAATGGACTATCACGTTTGAACATCCAACTCATTATGTATGCAAAGTTTAGAAATTCATAACTGAGGATTTCTTCTCTTTCGAGCCATCATTCCAATTGATCTAAAAATAAAAGAAATATATTCAGTAAAATCTTTTGATACTGAAACTGTTATGCTCTTTTTTTCCAGTAGACAATTCTAATGAAATTTAAACCTTGTAGGGTACAACGTGATAAAGATAATTGAATTACTAATTAAAAATATTTCAGAGAAATAGATTAAATTTAGCAAATTGAATAATTGGATTCTAAGGAATTACAACATATGGCTAAATGTGCCCCATTAATGGTCAATTTCCCACTCAGTATGTTCTAACAAAATTTTAAAACTGTCCATTAAATTAATTTCAATAAATTTTTAAATTTTGAAGAAAACATCAAAATTATAACACTAAATTTCCAAAATGTGAAAGTAGTACTACTTATTTTAAATGTCAAAATAAATAAATAACTATTACTCAAGACACTTTTTTCTGAACCAAAAAACGTTTAACACAAATATAATTTAGGGGTTAATTTGAAAATTGAAGATGCAAGAATTAGTTATAAAATTCAAATTGTGCTGAAATTATGATTTTTTAAACACAATAATTTTTATTTGCTCTTAATTATAAAACAAAATTTAATAAAATTAGAAATTCTAAATGTTCTTTAATTTAAAAATATAATACATACTTTGATTTTTAAGACAAATTGATATTGCTCTTATTACATTAAAGAATAATTAAGTTAATATCAAATAATAAAAAACTAAATTTCAAATTGTCCCTGAAATAAATATATATTTTTTTTAATTTTAAATGAAGCCTTAAATTAAATAAAGTGTAATAACTAAAAAAAAAAAATTAAGATTCACTAGAATTGTATTTTTTTAAAGACAATTTCAACTATATAATGTAACTACACGATTACCGTATCCTAGCAAAGTTTACAAATACAATAGAGTCTCACCAAATATCCCCATGGTAATGCTTAAGTTTATATTCACCCATAACTTCCATTAACAAAATTAATAAACAGCACTGAGGCAATGTTTATCATTACTTGTGTGTGTTTTATAACTTGAATGTCTCAAAAAGCTTTATCTCAAAATTTACTAGTATGACTTCTTATCTCTACATTTTATTACCATGAATTTTTTTTAAAATCTAATAAAATGCACCACTTTGTTTACCAAATGAGAATTATTACAATAATCATTTATGTTAGATAAACAGTGTAAAGATTAGTAAGGAAACTGCAATTTTACGTCAAATAAAGCATTGTTTATGGTGCTGCAATTGAAATTGAATAATTAATTATGAAAACAAATTGTATTGAATTATGAACTTTCAAAGTATCTATAAAAAGTTAATTCAGGTGAATCAATAAAATTCTTTCTTATTAATTTATAATAAATGTATATTTATTTTTTAAAGTTTAATTTCTTGTAGAGCATTTTTCAATACATTTTGGATTTTTCAATACAAGGATTGGTTTAGAAGAAAAAAATTCCAATTTATGAATTCAAAACTATGAGTTGCACTGTGCAATTAAGCACAATTTTAAATTATATACCCTAACTACATACATTAATTTCTGATAAAATTAAATTTTTTTATTTAAGTAAAAAATTTTAAATGGTTATTTAACTTGATTTTAATGTTTATTGTGGTTAACATTAAAAAACCATAATGAATATTCAGAGAGATACATAGCATTATATAAGAAAAACCAATGTAAACAACATTTTTAAATTAAATCATATTTATTTTTTTGTTAATTAGAACTTTTCNATTTTTAATATCCTTTTCTATAAGGATGACAACATAATGAATTTTCTATGCTTTTATTGAAGAAAGAATAAGGAAATCTATTTACAATTTATATACAAACGGAGCAATGTAAACAACATTTTTAAATTAAATCATATTTATTTTTTTGTTAATTAGAACTTTTCTATAATAGTTATTTTTTTGCATATTTTCATATCCAAAGAAATTCCATGGATTTCCAAAATTGCCAGGTCTGTTTTGAAAGCAGAGTTGAAATGAGAAAAAAGATGGATTGTTTACTTTGCAATATGCAGCAGAAAGTACACATTTTAACGTATCACTGGCAAGATTTCCGTATTGTGACCTACAGCAGAATAATCAGCAAGCAGGAGTGATTGTGAGCCCAAGTCAAAATTCCGGAAAATTTCTTGAGTAAAAAAAAAAAAAAAAAAAAAGTTTAAATCGAAAAATTAGAAAAAAATTTAAACGAGGTTTTTTCTTTTTTCTCAATATTTCTCAGTTTAATTAAAATATATTTAAAATTTTACACATACCTATACCATTTACTCATGCCTATGATGACCTGGAGAAGTAATTGAAATTTACAAATATGTCTTTCTTTCTTGAGTTTATGATTATAATAACTATTTACTGATAAAAAATGAATATTAATCTTGAGTATAAGCTTAAAAAGTATCTGGCTCTCTCTTACAAACAAATAAAATTAACTGTGTTTTTAAGTTCCACCTTTGAAAATTTGAGAAACTTTTGTGATCAATGATTTTTTTAAATGCCTGAACCTTCCATCTCCAGAAACTTCCAGAGCACAATCAACCCTGATAGCAATTTCCAGGCAATGGCCCATAAGATGCTAAAAAGAACATTACAGAAAGAGACCAACTCAAAGATTATAACTCGTAGCCAACCCCGGGCAAACCTCTACATGTTTTTCTAACAAAAATTTGCAAATTTTAGATCACAATACAGAAACACCTCCGTATCACCCCTTCCCTTTTCTAAAGCAGAATCATTTTGCTTTTGAAAACAATCACTGATTTGAATTTAGTGTGATTGTAACGTAAGTAGACGTAAATATAAAGCAAAATATAGATTTACAGTATAAAATAAAGAAAAAGCAATGCAGAATGTCCTTTAAGGAGAAAAGATCATACTTACAAATACAGATCATAAGTGAGGCTTACAAATACAGATCATAAATGAGGCTTACAAATACAGTTATAAATAAGACTTACATATACAGTTATAAATAAAGAAAAGCAACATCTTCAAAATACAAATAACTAGAATCTTTAACCTCCTATGTCAATAAGATAAAATTCATCTCCACTTGTTACAAAACTGATATTTTGAATAATTTCTCTCATTAATAACCGATTTTATTTTAAATTGCACTTCCACTTGATGAGGTAAAGAATTCTGGTTGATTGTATACAGTTTTAAAAAAGAACTAATATCATAATAAAAAGCAAAGATATTATCTAAATTAAAAAAAAAAATGAAATAGGAACATAAAAATCTATTCACTTGTTTAATATATATACTAATAAATATCATAAACAGTTCAGTTGCGTAGATCTAATTATAACAACTAACAAATAAGACTAATAGCTTTTGTAGCAACATAAATATGAATGTAAACTGTAATGAAATGAAAATATTTTTCAACTTGATGCTCTTTATAAAATGATTCTAATTCAGTCAAATTGTAAACACACCTAGTGAAATTGTACAATACAGATAAAATGAACTTAATAATAAGCATAACAATAAAGTTTATTTAAAATGATATGAGTATATACAAGACAAAAAACAACGATTTATTTTCTTTCAAATCCGGTGTAAATGGGCTAAATTCGGCATAACAATTATAACATAAACATAGCCGTATAAACAAATAAACACGGTGTCTGCAATTAACCATAAATTTTATGGCTTAACTTTAAAAAGCTTACACAGTACATTGTAAAAACGAATCTTTTCGTTTTTAAAATCAAGCTATAATGTAAACATTTATAATATATTTAAATTGTAAAGGGAATGACTCATTTCTAATTAAAATTATTGTTAAACAAAATCTCACCTTGATTTCTTCATTTACCTGCTGATACTCTGGTTTGCTGGCCTCCATGTGTAAATATACTCTCGTCAAACAATAAAAATCAAATTGATTTTTTGGAAAGAATGATGTTACAGCTTCTTCATAAGTTAAAAAATGTTGTTGAAAAGATTATTTGAATATTTTCAAATGCAAATATAATTGCATCATGCGTTAATTTGGATATAATACAATTCTTGATATAATTCAAAAATCACTGGAAACGAGATTACAAGATGGTGTCGATTTGTGGTGGTTTCCACTCTAAAGTTGGTGTAAATGAAATCTTAGAAAATACAGCCGACACCTTGTTTATTTAAAATAAAATTTTCAAATATTGATAATTCACAAATTCTGCTGTATGCGATAAAAAGTCTAATCAGATATCGTTTGTTTTCATTTACTAACTACATTTTATAGCAATCGAACATTTTGCACTTTTCATTAATCGATTTTTATTTATAATGTTTTATTTACATTTAGCAAATATGCAATCTATAGAACAAGTAACTGTTTTAAAGATCTTATTCATAAAAGTAAGGATTTTCTTATATTTATTTATTATTATGTAACGTACATTGTATTATATATTCATTATTTGACTAAATGTAATCAATTTCATTTGTTGTCATGCACACATTAAATTGCACGAAGAGTTACTTAAGAATAAAGTGTGAATTGAGAGCAAATATTGAAGTTGTTATTTATAAAATGTTCAGTACGTTATATATTTTTAAAAAAAATATTTGTTTATACGGCAGGTTTGTCGATAAAATTTTATGTGTAGTAGATACCGGAACTATTCGTCGTACCTATGATTCATCGGTTGTTTACCCTCAACGTTTTTTTAAATATAACATAATATTTAATCAATCTCAGTTTATTACTTTTTTTTAAATCTATTTACCCTGCCATTTATTAAGCATTGCATTTTCTATTCAATTTTTAAAGCAGTGCAATCGTTAAGTTTACATATAATGCCATTTACAACACAGTTTTCTAGTTTTTTGTTGTTGTTTTGTTTAACAGGTAATAAATTACATTAATTCTATTTTTATCGTTACATTAAATAGCAAAGATTTTCTGATAAAATGTTAATCTAATATTTTGTCATGAAAACAATAAAATGAGTTCAAGTTTGTTTACACTTACAGATGTTATTGTGATCACCTTTATTTTTCTTGTAAGATTACTTTATTAAAAGGAAATTGAACTTTTAGTTAATCTAGAATGTTTTAAAACTCAATAATAATACTTAAAACACATTAAAAGTGATATTTATATTAATAGTTGCCTCTAATGTAAGTTACCTCTTCTATATATCATTTATAATCTTCATTTTTTATTCAGTAATTTGTATTTATACTTGAAAAAAATAAATCTCTTGATTTGTTTTTATTGAAATACAGTTATTTCATTCAAATTCATTATGCTCATAAAATGTTAATTGTAAGTTTATGGAATATTAAAATAAGAAAAGAAATCCTCAAGCTTGTTTGTAATTTCTCTCTCATTTTTGAAATTATAATTTTGCTTTGTTTTTATGCAAATAATATTTTGCTTTTCTTTTAAGCAAACCATTTAGTTTTTAATGTATAAAAAGTAATAATTCCTGGGAATTTATACAAGTTGTTATTTGAAAAGAAGTTATAACTGTTTTTAATATAAAACAGATGAAGTGCTTAAAAAGATGAGCAATTTATTTTTTTGCTGAAACTATTAATTATACTGTTTTAATTACATTACAGTTCTTTTATTTCAGTTTATGTAATTTCAGAAATTGCAAAAGCTTATTTTCTTTTGTGCATTTGTTGCTAGTAAATATGGGGCATTATAAATAAAATAACAATAATTACAGGAAAGCATAACCATTTTTGGGTATTAGAAGTTGGTTACAAAAACTACAAAATACAGAATCTGGAAGACAACATTAACATTATCTTTTAATTATGAATATACAAGGAATATTTAGATTCTTTTTTAAAGTAATGTGATTAAGTTTCAAGTCTATAATTAATCTTTTTGCTCCTGTGCAGATAATAAAAGTATTTAATCTGAATAAATTTGGACAATTGTACTTATTAGATTGCAAAAGCAAATTATGATACATTTATGTAGACATTGGCATACAACAAATTTACATTCATCCTATAAGTTAACTTTGGCTATTATTAAGAAAATAAAATTTGTTACTAATACTGTATGGGATTAATCTGATGACTATTGCTAGAATTTTTAAAATTATTTTTTTTATTCATCTTATCTACTTGCATACATTTTCTTTTCATATAGTTTACAAATTTATAAGTAATTATTTTTCACTGTAAACTTAGAATAATCGATTACATAAATAAGAATTTTCATGATGAAACTGAAAGTATCACATTCTTTGAGAAAGGCTGTAAATTAGATCAGTAACTTTCTGTTACTATTTTTCTTTCATATTTTAGACAATTGGGTATAATATGAAAAAAGCACAACTACTTCCACTTACTAGGAATAACATTTACCTTTTAGTTTAATTAATAAACTGAGTTTTAAATATGCTTACTAAATTCATAAACTTCGGTAAAACAACAATATAAATTATTTCCAAAGGAACTAGACTAATACAATTCCAACCTGGCGAGTAGCGACTTATAACAAGACACTTCGTTTGATGCTTTTACTTGTTGCTAGAAATCAGGTTCGCAGAAAATGCTGTTTACTAGTTAAATTTAGTAGGAATAACACGATCTGTGACGTAGGCTATAGTATACCCAATTCTGGGGTCCAGTTAAAGTGCTTTAGGGGCCACTTTTGACTTGTTTGCCATAGGTTGTGCATCCAATATTTCATTAGTTGTTGGATATCTGCATAATCTTGTATCATTATCATTGCACACTATTCTGTAAAAGTAGGCAAATTACAAGTTTCTATACTTATTTATTTAATAATAAATAAAGACATGGAATGAGATGGGAAAATAATGTGTAGCTGGAAAATTTCTGTATAATTTTCCCCAGAAGCTCAATGCTTGAAAGAATAAAACTGCATTTGTTGCTGAATATGAAGGGAAAAAAAATATTTGTAATCAGTATATGTTTCTTTTTCTTATTTATTTATATATACTTTTTTACTATTTTCTTTTATGGAGTTATTTCTTGAAATAATTTTACTATCACTCAACAGTATAATATTCATAACAATTATTCTGTGCAGCAAAATTGCAGCTATTAGTTCATGCTTAAGTTGTAAAGTAGTAAAAAATTTACTATTGTTAAATTTCTTCTAAATGAAATTAATTTTTAGAAAGTATTCTTAGAAATTTTTGAAAGGCAATGCATGGCAGGTCTATTCTATTTATCTATATTACAGAAAATAATAAATTGTGTTTCTTTAGTTGCTACAAGGTTTGCTAAAGGCTATAATAACACTTTTTCAGATTCAGATTTTTTTTCCTAGTTAGTTCTTGTTATTGCTCTGGTTTGTTATTGTCTTGTTATTCAGGTTTGTTATTGCTATTAATAGACCTGCACATAATATGCAATAATAATTTTTAAAAGATTTTATTGCTATAAAGCAGAAATATCTAAAACCTTTTGGCTAATTTTTTCCCTTAAAGTGGACTTGGCCTATTATTATTTTGAATCCTTCATAAGTAATTACTTGTCCTGAAGTGCTTTTTTTTTAATTCTAGAGAGTTTTACATTTACCTTATAAATCAGTGTTCCCCAACCTTTTTATCACCGCGGACCTGTCAAGGTTTGATAATTTTACAGTGACCCACTGGGGGGTGGGATGTTGATTGTTTATATTTTAGATTATTTCCATTTATTAACGATAGAGAAAAGACGAAGTTCTTCATTAGTTCCAATGTCAATTTCGTGCCGCGCTTTCATGTTTTATTTATGATATTTACAGTTATGATAATTGATTTTTTTTTATTTCAACTAATTGAAAGAGAAAATAGTTGCAGTGGTTTTCCTTTTTTTTTAAACTTTTTAAAACATTAAAGAAATTCATGTCACTACCTTCAGGGGCCCTTTTTTTTAAATAAATAAAATTTTAACAGAACGCAGATATTTTTAATTTGGGGTATAAACCTAGGAATTTAAATTCAGTTTCAATGAGATGGGCAACCCGGTACCATTTGATCCATGGACATAACACTGGAATACTGTTCTAAATAACCTAATCACGCTTTAGAAACAAAACAGAAGAAATTGAAAAGAAGAAAAAAATAGTAGACATGCTATAAATACAAAATATATTGACTAATTTTTTATTTAAATATGAAAAAAAATAACGAAAACCTAAATAAAGGCTGTTAAAACATTTCCCCCCCCTTCAAATTAAACAGCTAACAGGATTTTTGCTCTTGGACAACTCATTTAGTATTTACTTATACATTCCAAGTTGAATGTTATAATTTAGAGCTCTATGCACGTCTTATTGATAGTTATTTATTACGAGTTATTAATTAAGATACAATTTTCCATTTCAGAATGAGTAATTTCACTACTATGGTAGAGTTGGGAAAAGATACAGAGAAGTGTGACAAATCTGTAAAATGTTTCACTATGGATGAAGCATTTCTCAATGACTTATTAGAATGCTCAGTATGCTTAGAACAGTTAGATAGTAGCAGTAAAGTCCTTCCATGTCAGCACACTTTTTGTAAGAGATGTTTGCATGAAATTTTAAACTCTCACAAAGAACTGAGATGTCCTGAGTGCAGGATATTAGTGGATGTCAAGATTGAAGAATTGCCGTGCAATATACTATTAGTGCGTCTTTTAGAAGGTCTAAAAAATAATGTTCGGCCTAAGAGAGTGGGTAGCAGCACTGATGTTGCTTTACGGAGTGCTGAATCGAGTTCGGGACAGCAAACTACTCCACCTCATCCTCAGCTACCTCAACCTCTTGGTAGCTTACAGCGGTCCCCGAGTGTTACAGATTTACGGATGGTGCCAAAACAGGTAAGCTGATTATTTTCAGAGCCATTTTACTGTATTTGATTTTAGATGTTCTGTACAAAGCAAAACTTGATCTTATTTGCAAAATATACTGGTTCAATTAAATTATTTTTTATTAACTGTTATAGTATTGTATAAAAATTCTATAATGTGTTTTTTAATGTATTTTTATCACTGTATTTTTTATAATGACTGTAATGTATTGAAAATAATTGAAATTTTTTTAATTTGTATTTTTCTAGTGTTTTAAGATAACTTTTCTGATTTATTACAGCTAAACAAGACAAATGGAATAAATAATTATAGCATTTCATGTTTATATAACTTCTAATACATACAAAAGATCTTTCATAAATGCCTGTTAATTTGAGCTTTCATTTTAGTCTTTGAGAATTTACAATTTTAGTCGTGACAAAAACTGAATATGATCAAGTATTTTTTTAAATGGATCTAAAATATCATTTATTCAGATTTTGTCATTACATTGAGTTGGGAGAATTTAAAAGTTTCATCATTGAAGCTATATTTATAATAACATTTTTTCTATTAACTTTCTAATTTAAATTCTGCTTTTATGTATTGTTTAGTGTATTTAATATTCAATTATTTATGTTTAAATAGGTTTTACAAGCCTGTCCTTGTGCTAAAGCTCTTTATCCATATGAAGCCAAAGTACCAGGGTAAGATTTTTTCTTCTTCTTTGAATTGTTTGTATGTTTATATGAGATCAATGCTAAATATTGAAATGTAATTGTGTTTCATTTCATAGCTAAATTACAAAATTTTGCATCCATCGAAGAAAAAAAAATTTGTAATTACTGGTACTATTTTATAGAAAATTTAATTGCTCAATTAAACATTGAAATTTAAACTTTGCCTTTCAATAATAGTGAGAATGGAGATTCTGTAAGATTATCTGGAGTTATATTTAAAAAAAAAAAAAAATTATTGATATTTTAATGAATTTTCTACATTTTAAATATGATATTTAACATTGTATAAAAAAAAATTGAGATTGTGAAACTTGTTACTAACTGTAAAAAAATGTAGTTCTAAACCACACACATATAATTAAAGTAATTTATATTTATCCTATTAATGCCGAAATGTTTTAATTAATAAAAAGAAGTAATATTTAGTAGACCAAATGCTTTAGATCACTTAAACTTCTTAATTAGATCTCTTTAAATTTTTAATTATTAAAATTTGATTTTCTTAGGTATATAAAGTTTTATCAGCATTAAAATGTGACAAAATTATACCAAAGCCTATAATTCTTACTAGCATTTCCATAAATTAAATGTTTTTAACTTTTGATTAAATTCGATGCACTTTTATTTTTATTTGAAAAAAAAATTTCAATGAATTTTAATAATGTTACATCTTTCAATCTTTTTTATTTATAAAAATTTATTTTATTTCAAGTCATCTCTACTCACTGATAAAAAAATTTTTTAATAAATTCATCTCACTGCTATTTAAAACTAGTATTTATTTAAAAAGAATTTTTACATTATTAAATTTTCCTGCTAAAGACGCAATAAATCTTTTAAAATTTTTTTGTTGTTTTAAAACAAGTGTTTATAGAACAACAAGCTTTAACATTAGTTTCTTTAAATGTATATATGTTCTTTTCTGCTCATTTATGTAATACAGTTTATTTCGCAAGTTTTTGTAAAAAGGAGGTACAGAAAAATGAATCATTTTTAAGGAGTATGAATTGGATTAATTATCTACTCTTTCCAGTAAATCCTTCAATCATTGTTTGATATTCCTGACTTAAAAACACTTTCTTTTTTATTTATAACAGTCATAATTTTAATGTGAATTTTTAAATTAAGATGGCACGTTGACATTGAGTTAGATCTCCATCACTGCCTCCTCAAAAAATTTTAACGCATATACAAAAGTACTCTATATACGTATATAGACTTTTACTTTACGCATTACGTACTACATACACATATACAAAACTGGTTTTATTGTTCACTTCTACATCGTTCAACAGAGAACGATCCGAATTTTTATTTCTCACATTGTACTCAGATCTCGCATACGGGTATGGACTTGGTCATTTGACAATAGATATGACTAACTTTCTTAACTGTGACATATTTTAGGGCTGTGCCTTACATTGCATCCATCCCAGAAACCAAGGTATAACTTTTATTTTTAATTATGTGAGAAACACACATTACATCTCTTAAGTTGTTACCTGTTAAGAAATGACTTAAATATTTTATGTATTAAAATATGATAAGATATACGATAAAATATTATTCAATTGTCTTCATATAAATTCTTTATTTGTTCATAACTTTTTTTATTTCTCTTTTATTTTACTAATTGTGATAATTATTTTATAGTGATCTCACCTTCAAAAAAGGAGATGTCATTATTTTGAGAAAAAGAGTTGACCAAAACTGGTTTTATGGTGAACTTGGTGGAAAATCTGGCTTTGTGCCAGCTAGTTTTGTGCAAGTTGTTGTACCTATACCTTCTCATGTGCCACAGTGCAAAGCTTTGTATGACTTCCAAATAAGTAGCAGTGAAGAAAAGGATTGTTTAACTTTTGTAAAGGTATAATTTTTTTTATTGTAATCCCTTATAATCATAAAAATTTCACTTTAAGGCATGAAAAACAATGTTCGTGGAATAAACATTTTTCAAAAAAATTGTGCTGCCTACTTTAGGTGGACATAACCTGCAGTCTAAAATCTAAGTGCTGCCCGTAGTTTGCCTTCTTACCAAAAATGCATTAGAGAAAATTGCATAACTAGCATAAGGAATTTTATAACTGTTTTCAAACTAATTTTTGTGAACTTTAGTAAAACTCTAAAAGTATAATATCAACTGATTCACTGTTGCACTTTCTTTTAGAAAATGAACATAAAGTGTTTTTTCTTCCGAAGAAGGTGTCTTTTATCTAATAAACGGGAATCTCTGGTCGCTGGACTTTTGCTGTTATTGGTCGCCAACCATCGGGGACTATATTTTATGAATCCTGATCACAGATATAAAAAGGAGAACTTCTTAGTCATGTTTAATTGTCTTAATCAATTTTTCATTTCAGTTTTTCTGTTTGTTATTTAGTCCGAATTAATTTATGTAAAAACTGAATTCATTGCAGCCTCTTTAAGGTAGAATATTTTTGCTGGCGCCCTCTCAAAAAAGGTTGTGCATTTTTAACTATTAAAAGTTATAACGTGAGTAAACTTTTGATTTTTAACAGAAAAGCAATGGTGCAGTATAGTAAGCAGAGGAAGTAGGGGTAGTCTCTTTTAGTTATATGTAATAATTATAATTTAATTTTTTTATGTTCTAAACCTCCATTTTTTATTGTTTCTTTTACTTTGCTTGTATTATTTTTAGCAAATATGAAAAAACGAAACTTAAATAATTTCTACGTACACAAATCATTCAGTACATGAATTTGTTTTCCAACTTGTAAATAAAGTGTCATAAATAATATTTAGAGGAAATGTTAAATAAATTATTAATTTAGATATGATTTAAGTTAAAGATATTATTTTGCAAAGAAAAATAATTATTAAAAAAAAAATGTGTGCAAAATTTTTTTTCTTCTGAAATTTCACTCTACGTTCTAACATTTATGTTAAAAACTAAATTCTATTATTCAATATAATCTGTTAAATGTTGAAAATTTTTAAATTCCTTTAATTTTTAGGGTGATATATTGAATGTTATTAGACGAATAGATGATCACTGGGCTGAAGGAAAATTGCGTGATAGAATTGGAATTTTCCCCATATCTTTCGTTGAGGTAAGAGATATACTCCAAAAATAATAATTCCAATTGTATTTGAGAATTTTTAAGTAGATGAAATATTTGTTTTTTACTGATTGTCTTAAAAATGTTTCTGTGCTTATATTTTATTTTTAAATTTTGTTGCTGGTGATCATTATTATGAAGAAACATTCCTTTTGTACTGGTATTTGAGAAAAAATTGATTATCAGTTATCAATAACCAGTTATAAATCGTTGTTTAGGAAAAATAATTTGAAGTTTTATTTATTTTTTTTATAATAATTGCCCTTTTTTATTGTGGACACAGAGAACATTAATTGACAAGATTAGGAAATTTATCTGGTGGCCACTAGAGGTAAATTAATTTAAGGCAGTTTTTTTCGTTCCACTGGGCAATTTTTGCATTAAAAGTACTTTAATAATGACTTAGCTTCTTAATTGTTATTAAAAATATTTGTTTATCTTAGTTTTAAAAAAATGTAATTATATAATGAGAAATTATTATAAAAAATCTAGGCATTATACCATATCATGTTTTAAGGAAAAATAACAACTTAAAAAATGGGGGGAATGTATAATAGGTTTGATTTTAGACTTTTTTTTCTGTATCGGAATGAAATGTAATTACCTTATCTGGAAAATTAAACCTCTTAATGAACTTAAAATAGTAATATTAGAAATTTTAAAGCACGTCCGAAAGTGATAATTAAAATGTGTGATTTGAAACTCTTGTATTGTAATAATCCTTGTAAAGATACAGGATTTTCAAAAATGCTTGGAGAAGCGTAGCAATAACTGCCTTTAAAAAAAAGGAAAAAATCATTTAGATTTATGATGAAATCTATGCAAATAAAGCAGGTCAAAAAGTGATCTATTATATGCGTGATTTATAACTCATGAGTTGTAATGCCGCATTAAATGTATAGGGGTTTCAAATACCCCATGGAAATTAGTATTTGTAACTGCAAAAAAAAAAAAAAAAAAATNTAACTGCAAAAAAAAAATTATTGAAGATGATTGGAATTAGAATGAAATCAGCAAAATAATTGAGTTAAAAAGTGCTTACTCAAACTCGAAATTTGCGTATCGTAATATCATATTAAAAATATTGTTTCTTTTTTTTTTTTAAATCATGTGGAATTTCAAAGCAATTATCACAGAAAAAAGTCAAAAGTTATCGAGAAACATAGATTTATATTAGAATCTGTGCAAATTGAGTGTGTTAATAAGTGAGGACTTAAATGTGCTATTCTAAATTTTCGAAATTTTTTAATTTTGTTTTGTTTGGAAGCGCCTTGAAACCATGCATCAACATTCGGTAGGCCGCATGTGGGTGGCAGGTTGTGCACCCTTAACCTAGATATACGTTAATCATCAAATTTTTACCCTTCATTTATTATAATCGTAAAGTAATTATGTGATGTTTTTTTTTTTCTTTTCTGTCATGTTGAAAAATTCTTAGTTATTTTTACTATCATAGTTTATCAATTTTATTGAAAGCATTTTATATTTTCTAGATGAATGCTGCTGCTAGAGCTGTGATGAAATTATCTGCAAAGTAAGATTGCAATTTTCGATATTTTTATTGAAAATGTTTTAGTGTTAAATGACCTAGCAAAAATTGATTCTTGGTTTCTTAAACTGGTTTCAGTTAAATTTTATGTAATAGTTTAAGAATGTTTTCCAATATTTTTTGTCAGGCAAAATAAAAAGCCAAATTTTGAGCACTTTTAGCTCAATGCAGGGAACGAGTGAAGGGTCTGTAATTTAAATATTTTTAAAGAAAACTTTAATACACTTTTTTATAATTTTGGTTTGGCTCAATTTAAAATCATAACTGCTGGTCAATTTTTGCATAATATTAAGAGCCAAATAATGCCGCGGTGACGCAACATTTCAAATATTAATTTAGATTTCAAGTGCTTTTCTTTTTTTTATAATCTTATGTTTTTTTTCTTTTTAATAACATTTTGCATTATTTCCATAATTGACATAGAGGGCGAGAGAGGAACAAAACTTAGCTTAGTTATCAATAACTGTTAGGAACTCTTAATTGCTCTAAAAGCAGCATATTATTTATTTAAACGTGTTAATTCATTTAATGAAATTGCGCTCATAAATCATTAAGTATATTTCTTATTTTTATTCGAACATTGAAACCCATGTAAGTTGGTCACTTTCATTGAAGGTCACTTAGATAGGTAGTCAACTTATAAAGTAGCATTTCAGTTATTTTTTTTCTAATTTGATGCTTGAATATGGAGACTAACTTGTTAAAGTAGTCAGTGTAATAGAATTCATTGTATGTAATGTTATAGCTAAAGTATAGTAAAGAGAAAGAAAAAAATTTCATACAAAAATATAAAACTCTTCTATTTTGTTAAACTGCAACTTAAGCATTTTTGTTTAATTATCTCAGCATTACAACTGGAAAGAAAGTTAATTTTAAATATTATAGAAAATTAAACCTAGCTTTTGTGTTTAATGATGTTTAACTTCATATAACACAAATAGTGAATTAGACTTATCTTTTTGTGTTGAGATATTTCCAAAATCTATTCTTAAATTTAAGTCTTAATTGAGCTTCACAACCATTAACATATTGATAGAAATGTTATTAAAACTTTGCAACTCGATTTAACTCCTATTTTTATTTATTTGAACTTTTTCTACCATAAATAATTTAATTTTATTGTTTATATGAAGTTAAATAAAAATCAAATAGAAAAATATTTTTGCGTTAGTATATTCAACTTGTTTAATTTTGTTTTTACAATTTTTATTTTGGTTACTAAATAATATTTTTCACTCTAGTGCTCAGTCTTCAAGAATTCTTCCTCCAGTGGCTCCATCTACTGATTCTCATTTTGTCACTGCCACAACAAGTAATTTGAATATTTAAATAGACTTTTTTGTTGGTGTCTCACTAATGCAATGAAAAGAAAATGTATTTAAAATAAAATAGATAACTGATATTTTTGTTATTGTTTGGTTGAAATAGCTTGTTAATTTCAAATAAAATAGCGGGACATAATGTAGTCATTCTTATTATTTGACCTTAATTATCAAAAGTAAAATATTTAAATTATTTCAGGTGTTGAAAATGCTGCTCAAAGTCCTCAGTATCAAGATTCAAGCAGTACTGGAAACATGTCTCAGCCTGTTTCATCTGGAATCAGTCCTCCATTTTCATCTACTGCCTTTACATCTCCCATTCATAGTTCTTCTCATACAATTCATCAAAATGTAAGCATGGCTGGCTATCCTGGATCTTCATATGATGGCCAACACCATGCAAGTACATCATCACATCATCGTCAACCACAATCATCATCAGTTAAAGCCTCTTCAGATGAACATCATGTATCAAATGATGGCTCTCATGAAAATTCTGCTGTTTCTAAATCTAGGTCAACACCTAGTCCCAGTACGGCTTTCTCATCTGTCGCATCAGTGACACCTCCTTTGGTAAGTTGTTAATTAATGTATTTAAATTTTTGTTTAGCTAACAATTTTTATTCAATATGCGTAAAGGGAACTCTGAAAGAATGAGATAGTAAAGCTATGAGGGAAAATTTAAAAGTTTCCAAATAAATAAATAAAAAAAATATGTAATGGTTATGATTCTGCTTGTTATTTTATGCTTTTTTCCCCCTTCATTTTTTGAAACTAAATGCATCTAATAGTTTGTTTCATATGAGACTATGTTTGTCTTTTTAAATTTGGAAAAGGTGAGGTTTAACATTTGACTTTTGAAAAAAGAGAATAGTTCAGGTACTGATATCAATATAAAACTTTGTAATTAATTTGATAGCAAGCGGCTGATTTTATTTTAATTGTCTACAATAGTGAAGACTTTTTCTGTTTTAACTGTATTAAGTGATATTATTATGCAACCAAAAGAAGAAAAAAAACTAAATTTTAGGGTTTAGGAACATGAAAAAAATACCTAAATTTCAAAATGATTAAATCACACATAACAAGTTACTTGATTAAAATCTTCAAAGGTTTCAAAAATATACAAATTTGGAAAAAAAGAGTTAACATGTTTCAAGTGCTCAAAAACAGACACCCATTTTCAAGACTTGTCAGACGCAAATGTGAAGAAAGAAAAGTGATTTGAAATATAAAGCGTAAAGTTGTCAAGAAAAAATGGAAAATAATGGTGCGAAACAAAGCTATTAAAACCACAGTAACTGAGAGAGAAAAAAGATGAAAAACAGAACAAGAAAAACCATTTTGGCCGAGAAGGGCAAATCAGGGTGAAAGTCATTTTCACGTGTTATGAAAAGGTGGTCAGGAACTAATGTTTAATGATTATTCTTATTCTTTATAACGGGCTTATCTATCACGTTCCTTAAGTCCCTAATTTGTCAGATTCTGATAGTATTTTGTTTTTCCTTAGTTAAATATTAATTTGAATTGCGTGTTTTATATTTTTCTGTTTTCTTTTTTGATTAGGATTCCAAAACTACATATTAAGATATTTTTTTTGCAGGACAGCCTATATATTTAAATGAAAACAGGCTTAAAACTGTCAGAGATATTTGCATCAGTAATTTGAATTTTCCTTTAAAGCTAAGCATTATTGTAGAAAAATGAATCACAAAACTTAAATTACTTTTAGAGACTTTATTTATATTATAATATTTTTATTTAATTTGATATGTATATTAGTTGATGTGCTGTGTTTAAATTTCATAGCGAGCTGAATCAATAGCTGGTGCTCAGACACCGACTCAAGGAAATACAGATGAAGCTCAGGGAGTTTCCACTTCTCTTTCTTGTTCGTCTGAATCTTCTAAAAATAGTCATACACCTGCACGATCCACAGGTGCTTCTCAGCCACCTACGCATGTTCCTGTTCCAACTTTGTATGTTTCATTCATTACAATTCATTTTATTATTTACATTCTAATTTAACAAGGTCTTTTAAGGAAAATAGAAAAGCCACAGTTTAAGTGCCTTACGCTTGAAGCAAAAATAACTGAAATATTTTAAAATGTATAAATTTTTTTTTTAAATTGCTACTTTGTTGGCATTTTTTCACCTAGATGAAAATTATAAAATCAATTTCTTATTCCCATATTTTGGATTCTTTTACGAACCGGATAATCGGCCAGCATTGGAATAAGTTTTTAAATATTAAAATATCAGACCACAAATGCTTTTTTTTAGTCAAAACTGTGGCTATTGACATTTAGCGCTATTTTCTGAATAAATATAGATGGCGCTGGCTAAATGTAGGTTTAACTTGACCCAACAGTTATAAGTAACTGTTGCTAACTCACATCAGTTATGAAAATAGCATATTATTTGCAAAAAACATCATTTCCTGCGACTACAGTGCCCTCGAGAAACAACCCTAAATGTTAATATAGTGTGAGAAATACCAATTATTGCTCAATATTTTGTAATGTATTTTTTACTGAATAATTTTTTTTGGAACATTTATTTTTAATTAAAAAATTTTCTGTATCTATGTCTTTGTCTAAGGTATCGGTTAAATATTTTTCTTATTCATTTGAGTGCCTGTAGTGAGTTTTTTCATGGCAAGCATTTTTTAAAATGTAAATTGAAAAAGTAGACAAATTTTTTTTGTTTTTTTACTGCCAAAATTTTGATTTATCAAGTATTTTTTTTAAAAATATTTATTTTGTATTATTTTTAGCTATTTGGCTCTTTACACGTACAGACCTTTGAAGGAGGATGAGTTGGAATTGAGAAAAGGTGAATTATATACTGTAAGTGAAAAGTGCCAAGACGGTTGGTTTAAAGGAACATCACTAAGAACAGGTCTAAGTGGAGTATTTCCCGGAAATTATGTTCAAATTGCAAAGTAATTTTTTGATTTTGTCATTTCAAACTCATATCTTTCAATCTTTTCACAAAACTATCTTTTTTAGTAAAATATTTTTTACAGTCAAAATTTAAGGAACATAAATAATAAATTAAGCTTCTGTAGAAGATTATATTAATTGTACTCTGAAATATTTGCTATTCCTACCATCTAATTTAAAATTAGTTATACATGTCCATCTTTATTTTAATTAGTTGGTGTCCATTTGAATAAGCTTTACTTGTATTCATTGATAAATTGGAAATTCATCAGAACTTTGTTGATGTTAAAAAATTGATTTCATTCAGAATATTAACATTCTTTTTATTATATCTTTATTTACATTAAAATATATTAAATGAATCATTATTTCTATTTTTAAATGTTGTTCAAAGTGTATAGCATTTTTTAAAATAGGTTATTTTTGATCTTCAGTTTTTATAAGCCCTTAAAGATGTTTTTTAATTGAATATTTGTGAAAAGTGCTGAATTTATCTTTTCCAAAGAAATTTTGTCGTTGCCCTATCAATTGTTGGCATAAATTACTCATAAAGCGGGGTTTTTCACTATGTTCCATTCAACGTTTAACATTTCATACAACCACAATCTGTTTGGTGGTTTATTGTCTATACTGTAGGAATACACCATCATTTTACACATTGGATGGGTTATGCTTGTGCTCTGCATGCTTGTGCACTGAGCTAAATTGGGTTGGAAGGATTCTTGCACTTACACATCCATCATTTCAGCATTTTGCTAAAAATTTTCGATTTCAGGTTTCATCTCCCGTTCTTTGAAATTGAACTGAAAATCTTTCCAATTTTTGCTCATCGTGGGGACAAACTAAGCATCTTTTCCCCAATAGCAAGAAATGTTTTGTTTGTTTCATTGATGATGAAGTGCTATTGTCTTCATTACAAGCAAGTTAATGTTCTTGCATTGTATCATTACCAGAACATGACTTGGGGATCATAAACTAATTAAGTATTTTCATGTGGGTCAAGGGCAGTCAACTATGCTTCATCAATTCAAATTTTCATCTCCCTTTAGTTCAATTTTAAGGATAAGAATTAATTGAAATTATTGATCGTCAGATTTTGTTCCCGGGGTACCATTCTCCAATTGTATAAAATATTTTGGACTTTATATTGTAGACCTACTTTAATTTTGCTGGATTTGTTATTAAAATTTTCAATAACTACTTTTGAGTTACTAAATAGAAAAAAAAATTTAGAGAAAAGATTTTAAATTGTATGAATAAAAAGGCATTTTAACATTTAGCAAATGCAATAAAAAATATGCGATTCAGATTTTTTATTTCAAAATATAATTTATATCTTTATCATTTGATTTAAAACTAATTGAAATTAAAAGATCAATAATCTCATCTTTGTTAAATGTAAGCAATATAGCATGTAATATAATTTACTTCTGACAAAAATGTTTAGTTTCAATACTCATTGTGTTCTAATTTCAAAATTATTAAAATATTTTAATAATTTTATTAAAGAAATACTGAACAAAATTACAAATTTTATTAAAAACTAAATTTGGGGCCGTTAATTTATTTACATTTGTATTTTCAGTTTATTAAGACTTGCTAATTTCTCTAAACATGTTTATCATTTCAGTATGATATATATTATTAATCATGTAAATGGTTGTAATCGTTGGGTATACATTAAATAATTTTTATTTAAATTTTAACAATATGCCTGGTAACTTTTTCAAGTTGGAAGTTAATCTAACTGTAGCTTCAAATTAAAATTATTATTTTGTTACATAATTGAATAAGTAATTATTAATTTAAAAAATAGAATAAGCAAACCTATATTGAGTATATTTAAAATAGTCTAAAATTTTTTTTTAAGGTAGCAAATAAAATCAAAAATGGAGTTCTTTACCCAAAACTATTGATTTTGTCTTAATTTTTTTTAAGGGCTTAAAAATATTTCTGAATGCTTTTAAGAAGTACTTATTTTTTGTTGAAAAATTTGGTTACGTATCCTTTTGTTAAAAGATAGTTATCCTACTTTGTGATTAAAGTTTCATGAAATATTTCCATCCAGAAAATAAGCATGAAAATAAGTCCCATAACACTGTGCAGTAGTTGTTATTGGGGTTGCTTTTAAGAAAGCAACTTCAAAATTATATTTAAATATTAAGGACTGAAAAATGTGATTAATAATTGTAGCCATTGCTGATGAGTTTACTATTTATTTAATTTAAATTAATAGTTTTAAACCTAATAACATAATAGTGATCTTTAACAAGTGACAACATTTTCATCCAGAATGATTAAAAAATAAATAATATAAAAAGAAATACTTATAATAAGTTAGTCATATCAGTTTTTTTGCATTTTTTTAAAAATAAAAAACATTTTAAATAAAAATGAGGAATAAATGTTTGATAGGAAGTTATGAGGTATTTGGCAGATTTTTTTAAAAAAAAAAATGTAATCTTTCTTTGTAGATCTAAGCCAGTTTGAAAAGTTTCAGTGCTGATATTCTATTAATAGTCAATCTAATTTTTGCAGAAATCACTTTTTGATTTTTCTGTGCTTTGCTTGCCTTCTTTTCTCAATGTATAGTACTATAAATGGAAAAAAAAACATTGTGGTTGAATTCTTTATGCATATTTTTACAGTAAAATATGTTCTAAATCTACACATAATTGTTGTATAATCATTTTACATGTTAGATGTAAAAATTACATGCTTGTTGCAATGAGAAAAATGTGATTTTGGCGTTATAACTTACATCTGTTCACAAAATACTGCAGTTCATTTAAGATTAAAAAAATCAGATAAATCGTAAAATAGCAAATATATTGTAATTTACAACTACAAATTGCTTTTTACTTACTTGAATAATGTGTAAAAAAACGTTGTAAATAGAAATATGTTATAAAAGAGGATTTTTTTTTAAAATGAGTAATATTAAAAAATTGCCCATAAACAGCTCTTGCTTGTTTTATGCATATCTGGTATTTGATTCAAAATTGAGAACATTATTTCATTATGAACATTATTTTATTATGATGGACATACAAATGATGCATAATTTCTTTACAGGTCTGCTGTGCTACAGCCACACATTGGCGTATCAATAGCTGGGCGTACATCTCCGGCATCATCTACTTCTCCTCCGCCAGCTGGAACGACGCCTTTGCAAAGAACAACTTTTTCAGGATTGACCACTGAAAATCCTCACCTGTTTCATCCAATTTCCACTCAAGGCGTCATTTACACCAACAGTCCCATAACACTGTGCAGTAGAGTGCCTGCTACATCTACTTCTCCTGTTTCACCTGCTCATCCTGCTGTGTTAGAGTGGGCTCATAGTATAGCTGTAGCAGCTCCACTTCAGAGGTTGTCACGACCTGTCAGCTCTGTTGCATCATTTTCCCCTGCTTTGTATAAATCAGAGGTAAAGGAAATTTACTTGTTCTTTTTAAATCTCAATGTTTATTTTTATTACTAATAATTATTTAAAAAAAAAAATTAAGGAATTATTGGAATTTTTTTTATATTGTAAATTAAAATTTTAAGGGTCCTCTTCAAGCAAAAAAAAAAAAAAGATTTTGCTTTCTCGGTGTTAACTAACAAGGAATTATATGCCCAGAATCTTATTTATTCAGTTACTAAAAAATTTTTGTTGCATTTTATTCATTGAAATTTGTTCTTTTGAATTTAGTTACCAAATTTTAAAGCTTAAGATTGTAAGTATTTTTAAAACTTTTTGAAAGTTTAAAGTTTTTCAAAATTCCAACTTTAAAAATACTTTTACCTTAAAATTTAAAATTATTCAACCCACAATCCTTAAAATTTAATTTTCTTTAAAATGCTTCGAATTAAGTTCAATGGAATACATTTCAATGAATAAAATGAAGCAAGAATTTTTAAAAAATATTAATTAGTCACTGATTAAATAAGGAAATTTTGAACATTGTTATCTTTAGGTTAGCAGGAAGGATGTGAAATTCTTAAACTCTCTTAAGAATACTCTGAAGGGAACCCTTAGGGGACTTATTTTAATAAAGTCATTTAGTGTTTATTTTTTAATTTCTGTAAATATTTAAAATTTATTGAATATTCAAAATATTAGCAAAAAGACTTCAGCTTAAAAATTTATTTACAAATTATATTCTCTGTCTTTTTAGCTAAATATTTATTTTTAAAATATTTTTTTTCCAGCTTAAAAATAGTTCGTATTGTGTAGTTCGTGTGGCACTTTTGTGGTGTTTTTACCTTATCAGAGTAAGCTCTTCTGTATTGCTATGTTGCAACTTAAACTGAATAATTCACTCCAACAATAATCAAATTTGTATGTCTCTAAAATAAAATTTAACATTTATTATATATTAGATAGTGGCACTTGTGTTTTAGATGTTAGTGATCATCAAAAATAATGTTAACAATAAATTTAGTGCGGATTCAGAATTTTGAATGAATGTTTAAGTGTACAAAGTAATCAACTGGAATTAAAAAAAAATACAAGATTCTTTTTAAAATATCTAATTAAGCAGTCTCTCACTTTGAAATAAAATATTTAATTCACATTAATCTAAAAATTTAACTATAATGCAGAAGCTATGCGTTGCATACTTCAATTTGTTGAAAATCTGGAGTAACTAAACCTGTTTATCTTAGTAAAAGAAGTGATCTCAAAAAATTAAATTACAGAAATTTATTTTTTAAACATTACATGTTGAATTTCTTACAGTAAAATTATTTTTCCTCTACATTAATTTTAATCCCAATAGATTGGACCAAAACAAAACGGATTTCCATGTGGCCAGCCTCGTTCATTGGCCATGGCTCCGTGGACTTCTCTATGTGCAATAGATATTAATTCATCGCCATCATCTTCACAGATAGTCACTGATTTCCCAGTGAGAACAACCAGTGCTTCTCCAACAAGAATGCTGTCTTACCAAGCATCACCCAATACTTCTCTCAACCAGAATATGGTATCAAGCAATACAACATCAGAGGGCTTGTCACAGGCAAGGTACAGCACTTCACAGCCCTCTACTCCTCTTATGATGCCCCACTCAGCTCCACCTAATACCAATCCTTTCGTAACTCCTGATCGAGTTAGTTGTTCCACGCCTGTGACAGCTGGAGCAGCATGCCCACAAGCTTCTCAAGCAACGGCCTCACAAAACAGAGTTGAGAAGGTATATTATTTCGTTTGATAATATAAAAACTTTATGCTCTTACAAATTTATTTTCCTGTATTTCATAGAAAACTTTATGCATTTTGATTTAAATATCTTGAAAACAATGTTTTTTCAATCAGTTCTAGTGAATCTGGAGAATAGGAGCCTATTTTTGAGTGCTTGAAATATCTAGACTTTTACCACCCTTATAAGTTTTTAAAGCAAATGAAGTTTCATGTAATTAAGGCATATTTATCTTTCTTAATTTAATCCACTGACGATTTTTTCTGGTATCAGACTATTCATTCGTACGCGATCTTATAAGTTTAAGGTTTGTAATTGCTATCGTTAAACAATAATGGCAAAAGTTATTTCTGAATATCTTAAATGTAAAGTGATTTAAATTGAATCTATCTACGTGGACTTGCCGTTTACCATGGTGCGTAGTGTTTTTAAAAAGTGCTTTAAGGTGTTTATTTTTTATTTTCGTTTTTTAAAAGCCCTTCGAGGTGCTTTTTTTATTGGGTGTTTTTAAAAAATGATTAATTTTCCCTTTTTGGAAATTAGGTTTTTTTTCTTTACAATGTCAATTTTCGCTATGCATTATGCAAAAGTGTGGTTTTCACATTGTTCTATTCAACATTTTCACAATTCATTCAAATACAATGTATTTAGGCGTACCGTCGGTCTGTAGCATATGAAAGCGCCAATCATTGTACTTGTTTGATGAAATACTCGCGGGTCCGCATGTGCGTTTACTGAGCTGGGTTTGGTGAAATTCTTGCACTCTCATGTGCAACTCTGCTGCATTTTGCAAGATATTCTCAATTTCAGGCTTAATTTTCCACCCTCTGAAATTGAACTGAAAAATCTTTTGATCTTTTTATGGTGGCTAACATAATCAAGAAAAAGAGTTCTTTGTCAAAAACTAGTAATTTTTTCATGATAATGTAAAAGTCTTTGAAAATTATTTTGCATTTTGTTAATGTATTTAGTGCTTAAAAATATTTTTTGAGTACTTAAAAAATACTTAAAAGGTGCTTATTTTTTGTTGAAAGATTTGGCTATTCACCCTGGTTTACGCATTGCATCTTAAAACATATAATTAATTATGCAAGAAATGAAAATTCCTTTTTATGTCAGAGCTAAGTTATTTTTACAATGAAGGATGTTCTATTTTGTGAAAAAGAAAACTACAATTTTTTATAACCAATTATAACCATTTTTCATGAAAGGTCATTTTTTTAAAATTATTTTCCTACAGTCTCCATTAATGTAAAACATTTGCTGCAGTGAATGATTATGAATATGTTGGCTGTGTTAATAATAACCTTAATTATAATAACTAAAATAATTATGTTCTAAACTCTTATTAATATCTTTTAGCTACTTTTTAATTAATAATTTAGTTTTATTTTCCTGAAATAATAAAAATATTTTTTCGCAAACATGTCCACAAACATATTACAGGTCCATCTAGAACATTACAGTAAACAAAGTGCCAATTGGTGCACTCATTTTTAAGCTATAAGCTAATTACACAGACAGACATACATTTTTAGATATCAGTAGGGATGAAAAGAATCAGGTACTGATCTAAAAATAGTACAGTACAGAACACGTTATCCGGAAATCAGAAAACCGGAACAAAATTCGATAAATTTTCCCGTCATTTTTAAAAAACTTTTTTCTCCCCTCATAAGATTTTAGGATTTTTCTTTCTTTTTTGAACGATGTTAACCTTACCATCATTTTGGAAATAATCGTTAGTGTATTACTTCATCGTTTTTTCTTCTTTTTAAGATTATTTCCAAACATTTTTTTTTAGTTGGGTTTAACAATAAAGAAAAGCCCTTTTTGTAGCGATTCAGAATACCGGAAAAATCAGTTATCCGGAATAGCGATGGTTCCGATCGTTCCGGATAATCGGTTCCCTACTGTATAACATATTCTATATTTGTAATATTAACCTTCAACTTTTTACTTTGAGTTTTGATGATTAAAATTTAATTTGCATTTGCTACATTTTATTTTTATTGAAAAATATGAAGTGTTATTTATGTTTAATTTGTGTAGCACAAGGAGAAGAAAGAAAAGGAAATTGTTAGTTTAATGAAACGATTAACTAAACGAAAATCTAAATCACCACCTCCATCTGATTATTCTTGTGATAATCCCTCATTTGTGGATGGAACATCATCATCACAGCAATCATTATCTGCTGTGCATGTCAGGTAAGCTAATAAAGTTATAAATCTGTGTGTCATTTAACATATATGAATTATAAAATATATATACTTAGTCATTGCTTGTTTAACAGTGAGTTATTTGAATGTAGATCAACATCTTGTCCCAGTGAAGCTTTGGGTAGTCAAAATGCGAACCATAAAAAAACTGGATCTCTTGATGGTTCCAATGGTGAAGTTCCAAAATCATCATCACGACCTAAGCAGCCGGCGCCGTTGGTGCGGGAAAGGTTGTTCATTGTTTTTTATTTTTTATTGGTACACTTTAAGAAATGAAAAAATATTGTAAAGAAGCGTAAGAAAACTCAGATATTACAAATGCATGGGTACAATTTTTAATTTCTAGTTACGATTCTTTGTAGTAATGATATAGCGATTTATTTTGCAATTGTAAGCAGGAATTATTTTCAATATGCAAACATTTAATACTTTGAATGAATATTGTTAAGTCTCATATATATTTATTTTAACTATCCGTGTCAAAATCTTTTTAAACAAAGATAATAATATTCACATGTATATTTTGTTACCACTTAAAAAATAAAAATAAATTCTTCCACAGAAATCGGTATACTCCGCCTATGCAAATGTGGAAAAGATTTTTGTATGAGTTTATAAAAGATTTAGTTTCATGTTGTTCCTAAAACTAAACTCAGTGGCGGGACAGCCCATTGAGGGCCAAGGGCTACTGTGCCCATCTCAGTTTTCTTGACCTGGGTGGTCATCGGAACACCAAACCCGTAGTGTTTACTCCCCAAGCATTCTTGGTACTCATTTTATCGACCCACTGAAGTGACAAAAGTGGTTGAGTTGACCTTGCCTGGCCCGAGGGTCGAACCCAGGACTTGTGGCATAAGAGCGTGACACACTACCACTCAGCCACCAGGTATCTTATGTTGTTTCTAAACAACTTAATAAATTTTAGGCAAACACCCATGAAATTTCTTGTACTGTGTCGATAGTAAAATCAGGGAGAGGAAAATAAAAGACCCTGTTTTTTTTTTCTTTCTTTCTCTGACCCTGTCTTTTATTTTTCCTGTTTATGAAGAGATTTAGTTTGTTGTTGTTTTTAATTAAGTTGAATTTTGGGCACACATCCATGAAATTTCCAATGATATTAAATGCTTACAAGAAAGCAAATAAGCAAATTACCACTCTTAATTATAAAATTCTCATTATATATAATTACATTAGGCTATTTATGTATATCTTATCAATATTAGAATCAATACCATTGTGATGAAAAAGTTTGTTGATGTTGGAATTACTATTCTTTAAAGAGGTTCGATGATTTATCGTTAGTAGTAAATCTTTCCAATTATTCTTTTACTCCAGAGTGATACAGGACAGCAATTACATCATAAACTACTTCATGAAGAATCAAAGTATGATAAATTATAAAGGAAAAAGGTTTATTTATGAAATATATTGAGATCTGAAGTAAATAGAAATGTTCCTTTTTTTATGTTTGTATGAATTATTAAATATAAATTTATTGCCAAGGCTCTTTTTTCTTGGCCTTGCGCATTCAATTGTGTTGGCGGAAGATAAAGTGTGAGAAATAATAATAAATTTTATGGAATTCAAAAGATTAGCAACCATATAACGGTTTTTGATTTCTATGCTAATGTGTTAAAATAGATGTAGAAAAAATAGATTTTATTCTGCTCTCAATTCTAGGTTGTGTTAAAAGGATTCCTTATTATATTAATTTTTATTTACTGAGAAAAGGATTAAATGAGATAGTTCAGGATGACAACTATATATCACTGTTATAATTACTCTTATATTTAAATAATTTTCATCCAACAGTTTTAAATCTTTTATTTCTCTTTTTATGTCATGATAGTTTTAATTTATTTTGTGCATTATTTTCTCCATTATGTTCATATTTATTATAGATTTTTTTTAATTTAAAACATCAGTTTAGGGAATGTTTATTTCTTGTCTTGCAAAATTTCAAGATTCTTTTCAAATAGAAAAGGAAAATTTTGCATAATGAAAAATATATATTCATGAAACTCATGTTTAAATTAAGAAAAATCCATTGTAAATATGAACATAATAGAGAAAAGAATGCATAAAAGATTTAAACAATCTTTTCTTCCAACTATTTTTAGGGAGTAATTGTAACATTACACCAAAAACGTAACTGTGACACCATAATTATCATATAAGTAACTTTTGATCTAATGATCAGAATTTTACGTACCAGAACTTATTCTATATAGTTTGAGGGCTGACCTCATTATATGCTAATTATTTATTGCACTCAATATTTTAGGTGGCAAAATCAGACACAAAAACATAATTTGTCAGAATAAATGTATCTTTTTTTCAGCAGATTCAAATTCTTGACCCTCAAAATATGGTCTCAATACTTGTTATGAGAGAGCGGTCTATAATTTTAATTCCTTTATGTAAATTTGACTTTCTGCAAATATCTCAAGAACTTTTTTAAGCTAAATCGATTGTTAAGTTTCTGAGTTATCAAATTTTTAAAAAATTGTATAATTAAAATTTGAATTCTTGAGAACTATTTGATCAATTTTGTCGTATAAAATTACATTCTTGAAAATGATTTTACAAATTGCATATCTTACCATTCAAAATTTGTTCACATCATTATTAATTAAAATATTAAAAAATAAATATTTAAAATTATCTTTTGCATGGAATTATCTTCAGAAATTTTTTTTTATTCATCTTAAAAGTTCTTGAGACATTGCGAGGTACACAAAATGTAGAATTAAGGGTTCCAAGCTTTTGACCATTCTTATTGGGACCATATTTTCTAGATTGCAATGATCCTTATATTTCAAAAGTCTGGAATCTGAATCCGCCAGAGAGACTAAGTTTTTGTGTCTGATTTTGCAACATTAAATTTTGTATTCTACATTAATTAGCCTATTTAAGGCGATGGATTTTGAATCATTTAAGTCTTAGTATGTGAAAATTCTATCATTAGATTAAAAATTATTCAGGGTGTTTCATCTTACACACTGTTCAATTTTTGCATAGATTTTTATTGTGACAGTGTGAATCCTGATTATGATACTTCATAATTTTTAATATAATCACATCATTATATTTAAGTCAATGACTTTGAAGGATATAGAAATATCTAAAGTTAAGGTAAAACTATTTCCTGTTTTGTTTTTTTAAAAATAGTTTTATTTTCTGATATCAAATAGACAATATAGAGAGGGGCAAAATCTTCTGTAAAAAGGCAAAGTACTTTGTTTTACTGTTTTGATGAAATTTGAACTTTCTAATTCTAATTATAGAAATTTTGAATAATCTGTTACATTTAAAATGGAATTTCAATGCTGTATTGTGGTTATCCGTCACTAAAAATATTATTACATAGTTGGGTGAAAATATAAATTTTTTATCTATACAATTTATATACAGTTTATCTCGAATCTCACGGGAAAGGCGAAAAATTCGAGATAGAGAGGTTTAAAGTTATACAGGTACTATAGAGAGGTTTAAAGTTATACAGGTACTATAAAGAAATTAAATTTGATTAAAAGTGCTTTGTTTTTAGTAGAAAAATGTAGACATTTCTTTAAATTAATTATACCACATACATCTATATACATAAGTTTTTTAACATACATTTAACACTGAAAATAATAAATAAGATTTTTGACTGATAACCTTATTTGTTTCAATTATTCTTTTGAGGTTAGAAAGATCGCGAATTCCTCATAGATTGTTTCCTAGTTCACTTTAAAACTCTTAATTATCCTTTGATCCATTGGTTGCAATTTTGAGGTGAAAATGAATTTTTATTCTTAGCTTTCGTATCTATGTTGAAAAGCTAACCCCTGATGGTCACTACTCATTAACCCCTCTCTTACTGCCAGAATCATTGTATTCCTTTCTAGTTAAGGAAGTGCAGGGATAGTGATTGAAATTCCAAAAAACACCCCCAACCTGTTCTTCCTGTGGATTCACGAAATTCATCTCTGTCTACAAGTTCTGCTGATAAGGAAAGTTTTGACATAAACATGGAAAATACATTTATTTTAGACAGTAAATGTAGGGAATTGTAAAAATTTCGAGATATAGAGGTTTTCGAGATAAAGAGGTTCGAGATAAACAAGTTCAACTGTATTTTTCATGCCTTATTGGTAATTAATATATGCTTTATTTATATTTGTTTCTAATTAACTTGCATTAATTTCAGATTTCGCTGTATTGTGCCTTATCCTCCGAACAGTGACTATGAACTAGAATTGAAGGTCGGTGATATAGTTTATGTTCATAAAAAACGTGAAGATGGTTGGTACAAGGGAACATTGCAAAGAACTGGAAAAACTGGACTTTTCCCCTCTAGTTTTGTAGAAGGATTTTGAAGAAAGTCAGGCATAGGCATAACATTTGAAGTCTCAAGAACATGCACATTTCTGCCGAAAGGTGACCGTTGCCTTATTACGTTTGGGTTTTAGAAAACAGTCTGAATCTCAAGTGATATTGGTGTTAAACAAGTCTTATTTAGCTGCTTATTATACTGCCTTTTGTTTTGCAATAACAAAATAACAGTGGAACTTGTGATTAACAATCCCATTTTATGCAAAGTATAAAGTGTGATGCCAAATATTAATCTATTCTTTCATTTTTATTTTCTTTTGTTTTGATACTGTTTATATGTACAATTTGACCAAATTTTGTTAGTATTATAGTAACTATTTTTTTAATTTAGGTATGCTATTTATAATTTAATTGTTTGTTGGTTTATTTATTAGTGGTATGAATAACAATAGAACTCTTCATTTCTTAGTTTGCCATAAATTAACCAGTACCATCAATACAAAAAGTGCAACTTTAACCTTTTTTAAAAAATGTGTAGGGGTGCCAATTTATACTCGTTTAAATTTATCAAGAACTAATAGTCTTTAATAAATATATATATATTATTTAAAAAACACACAATAACGTAATATTTTATAACTAAACAAAATCATATGCAGCTACTTAAATGAATAAATTTACATCTGTTTCATGTTGTTGGTGTTTTAATGTATCAGCATGCACTCATATTTTAAAATACACCTAAAATAACTTATTATTTGCTATTTTACACCCACACTATTTAAACTTTATATTTAATTTGAAAGGCTTATATACTACTGCCTTATTACTATTTTCTATAATTTTTGTTTTATGCTAACTGTACAATAATGTGTATTTAATTTTTCACAAACTTAATCACATCTTTTATTGTATTTGTATAAATAATCCTGTTATTAGATTGCTTAAGGTCTGTATTGATACAAATGTTTCAAAAGGAAAAAATCCAGTTATGGATGATATAAAAAATTATTGTATTTCAAGGAAATAATGGAAAATTAGTTAAGTTCACAATGCATAAGTACATATAATATTTAATCCAAACAGTCTCATACTTATTAAACTTAAGTAATATCTTTAAGTACAAAAATTGTATTTACTTCAGGGCATGCATTTTAGACTGGCACCCCTATTTCCATAAAAGATTTTCTTGCATTTAATTTTTTACTGGAAACCTACTGTTATTCCCATTTTTTTTTTTTTTTTTTTAAAGGAGGCTGTATTGATAAGAAATGTTATTTTCTGTTTATTTATAGAAATGTTTGCATCTGTTATCTTAATTTTTTATTTCATTTTGTACATTTGTGAAGAATTATTATTATATACTTCAAAGTTAATGCTAATGTGTATAAAAATTGTATCATAATTATTTGTTGCTTGTTTAAATTATTTATTAGTGTAGTTTAACAAACATACAAACTTAGTTATTTCTTTTCCTTGTTAAAAACTTCTTTGAAAAATTTAAATTGTGTTTTCAAGCACAATTAAAAATAATAAAATTTTTATATATATANTATATATATATAATGAGCTTAAGTGTAAACTCAAAGACTTAAATTTGACTGTCTTTTTAAGAAGTGGTAAATGATATTGGAACATTAAAGGAAAAAAAAATTTTTTTTTTGATGCAGTAATATTCACCAGAGAAAATGTGTAGATCTATACATTATTTTTATTTTATTTTTTTAACCATGGGATCAACATTTAAAAAGTCTAAACTCAACATTGCATTTAAAACCTTGTATCCTAAATAAAAACGGGTTAGGTTTTATTTAATAATTTTAAAAATAAATTCAACATTAATTTTGTTTATTTCTTAACACAAAACAATAGAACTCTTTGTTTCTCTGTTTGCTTTAAATTAATGAATACCTTTTACCAGTACCATCAATATAAAAATTGTAACAAGTAAATTGCAACACACTATCTGAACTCACTTAATGCTTGAAAATTATTCAATGTCAGTTACATATTTTTTTGAAAATATTGCATTTGCCTATGTATGTGCTACTTTCATTTTCATTTATTTTTAAACTATAAAATGTTTAATTTCTTTTGTTAAATTTTTGTAGGCATATTATTTTTGATGAAAAGTCTTAAAATACTATTAAGGGACAGCTGGATGATGTTTTAAGATAAAACATTAAACACAACTTTAGAATAAGTTCTCTATTTTTAAAGATGTGATTTGCATAGTTGGAGTGTTATTGAAATTGTGTAGTAAATATCAGTGAGGGTCAAAAGTCAGCATGATAAGATGAATGTTTAGTTTTTCTAGATTTATATTGCTACTATGCATTATTTTCTACATCTTGTGCACGTAGCCTAATTCATTATCATTTTAAAGATTACATTTCATTGGTAAATTTTAAATTTATGCATTGATAAAAAAAAAATGTTTGCTCACAGCAGAATTAGTTTATGTAATTAGAAAAGTGAAATTATTAAATTTTTGCATTCTGTGGTATTCTTTTTGTTACTATAGTTATATTTGTGGTTGTATTATTTGTACAAATCCTATTCCTACAATGAATATAGATTTAGTTATGTTTGGTGCTTTATTAAGATAAGTCTGTTATTAATAACGCCTTTTTTTTAGAAATGTACTTAATCTAAAAGTTATCAGTTTCTTTCTTTTCTTTTTTTTTTAAATTTAGAACTACATTTATTGAAAGTCATAATTAGTTTTTTCAGTGATAGCTGTACATATATTAACACACATTTTATCTTGAGAGTATTTTTAAACCTTTAATTTTTATTGTTTTTAAAATCAGCACGTATATTATTTATTTTAATAATAAACTTAAGTTATGCCTCAGTGTTTGTTTGTTTGCATTAATGTAACAATGATTTTTTTAAAAATGTTTACTTCCCCCACTATTGTCTAAAAAAAGATCGCTCAACAGTTTGTAAAGTGTTTATTGAAAGGCTCTGTGAAAGAGCAAAGCTGTATCAGGCGTATATTTACTTTATAAACCAAATTATTAGTTGATAATTTTTTTATGTTACTTCTTTTAAAGCAACAGTTTCTCACTGAATTTTTAATTTGCAATATTGTCTTCTCTTAAGTATAAATCTTTTACTGATTTCTTTCTCATTTTAGTGTGCCATTGAAAAACTTTTTTCACGAATCATATAAAATGTATTCAACTTGTATGATTTGTTTTAGCTATCCTCAAAAAATAATTAAATAAAAAATAAGAAAAGTGAATTAAAATTCACAGTAAGCAAATTTAGACAGTTGTTTTCTTCCATCCCGTTAAATGGAAGTCTGTCAACTAGGAATAAAAGTTTTATTGCTTCTTGAATAGACTGAAATAATTTTAGAAATGTTTAAGTTGTTGAAATCCATGGGGGTCACCGGTGACTGGCGAAGCCAAGATTATTAGAAACACATAATTCAAGTAAATTTTAAATTTTTTTATATTATTATCGTTACTAAAATGATTTGAAGAAATTAATGCAATATAGAAAACACAAAAATCATTTTGGCCTGGCGGGCAAGCCATGTAAAATTAGCGTGGCATTCAACATGTTAATTTTAAAAAAAAGTACAAAATTTTCAACTTTATTGAATTAAGTTCATACAAACTACATGCACTAAACGTGAATTATTAAAGGCAAAATCTTTTACTGCAGCAAAAGGTAATGTTTCAATAGAGTTAACTCAGTGAAAATACTTCAACTTGCCCAAAATTCAGTAATGCATTTTTTTTTCAATTAAGTTTATTTCTTAGTGAAATTTTAAAAGTATCAAATTAGTAGAGAAATATAGTTAAAATTTTGTGGACCAGCCATTTAACAAAGAAACTAAGTCATGTCACCGTCTATTATTTTGTAATTGAATAGGGAAGTAAAGAATGGAACATTCTGAACATTGATTTCATGCACAGACGTTGTTAACTAATGACAAAAATATATTAACTAAGTTTAAGGAATTTTACTTTTGATAGTGATGACAAAAAATATACGAGACATCTACATAAAAAGTAACTTCTTACGCAGTTTTTTAAATGAAATTTAAATATTCCTTTTTGATCAAGATTATCTTAATGTTTTATAAACTGTTGAGTTGATTGTTTCCTAGCTTTTCGACATTTTGAATTAGATTGAAGTTTGAAAAAAAAATTTCTTGGTGCTCATATGCTGTTTTACATTCCAATTGTCACAGGAGAGAATTATTGAGGCATGGCTTGAAACCAACTTTTTTCATATATAACCCCTGTGGGGTAGTATACTGTACATAGATCAAGTTTATTTATATTTAAAGACATTTCTGGTAGTATAGTCACTGACTGTTTTTTACTGTCTGTTTATATTTAATTGTTGTTAACCCCTGAGATGGTAAATTTTGAGTCCCCCTCCCCCCACACAAATGTGCTTTTAATTGTATGTAGCTTTTAAAAGAGTACTTTAGCTAGCAATGCACTGATTATGAAGTTTTTAAACACTGTATTTTGCATACTTAAACTATGTTTTTCTATGCATGTACTTATTTTTTGTTTATGAAATTATATTAGCATACCTGCCAACATTCACTCTTTTCTAGAATGGATTTTCCAAGTGGTAGTAAAACAATTACCGAAAAACTATCTTCCTCAAAAATAGATTTATATTTTAATCAGGCTGAAATTCGCTATCGTAAGGAATAATATGCTTTTATATATTTGTTGTAATTATTTATATGTAGTGGTGGTCACCTGATTTAAAATAATTATTATAATTCAAAAAGTTTAGAGAAGTAACATGAATTTCGCTAGCACTTTAAATATGAAAATAAAATCTTCCGGGAAAACCGGAAGAGTTGGCAGTTGTGCATTAGTATCACTTTTTATATTAGTATTAATTATAAATTTGTAGTAATTTTTTTTAAAAATAACATACCAGATAAGTAACAAAGTCTAAATAATACTTTTCACGTATTGTATATCCAATAGAATTGTATTCAATAGAATTGTATTCAATAGTTATCTTTTGCCAATTACATTTGGATAGTTTTATATGCAGTCGCCAAAATTTTGTATTAGGTAGTTACAATAGATATTAAAACCTATAAATTATTTTTAAAACACTTTCTTTTTAATAAAAAAAAAAAGGATTTTTCAATAGGTAATGCTACATTGCAGTATTAAAAAATTTATGTACCTCGGTTATGCTTATCAAATGCAGTAACTGTTCTTGATAAATCTTCTACCATTAAAGTCTTAATAGGTTATATCTGAGTCATTAATGGGTTATACTAAAAATTTTTACAACATGAAGCAAGATAAATAGTAATGTATTATTTATAAANACTAAAAATTTTTACAACATGAAACAAGATAAATAGTAATGTATTATTTATAAAAAAAAGTTTTTTTATGTTACTTATTTAATAAATCTTCATTAAATTATGTCCTGATTGATTTTCTTACTACTCTCCCTTATTTGTTTTTAAAATCATTTAATATTTCATTTCTTAAAAGCTTCAAGCAATTTCTTGTTATTTGATTAAAATTTTTGTAATAATCTTTAAGTTAACCTAAATACTTGATGGTCAATATGTAAATTACATTATAAATTGATAACTTTTTAATTCCCTTTCAATTTTCTCTTGGTGGGACCATTAAATTATTTATTTCAAAAACATTACATATCATAAAATAATCTGTATTTTTTTTACTCTAAATGTATTGTTACTGTAAAAGAGGAAAAAAAATATTAACGTAAGATCTTGGGAAAATAAAGTTAATTGATACAAAAATATTTTACCAAAGGAAAATGTAATATATATTTATTTTTATGCATTAAAATATTATTGACAGCTATTAGGTTATTATAAATTTAATTAGCATGGACATTTTTATATTATAAAAATGTATGTTCAAAATTTTATACATTATGAATACATAAATAATTTATTAAAAATAAATTACCTAATAATTCAATTAAAGGAAAAATATAATTTAAATACTAACATTCTACACATTTTTTCGTTATAAACGTACACATTCCTATAATTACGAAATAATTAATAATTGAACTTATTGCTTACATTATTATTATGTGCGTGTACTAAAGAAATAGAAATCATATCTTCATTATTAAAATTTCTTTGTAATGCAAGAATTTACTCCATATTTTTTAAAACACACACATATATAGATGTCATTTAGAGAAATATTTTTATAGCATGAAAATTCATTAAAAATTTTGTTCTGTTTATAATTAAAATTATTTTCTTTTCCAAAATTTTTAATAAATTTTTTTTTTAAATCAAAGTTGGGGGAAAATGTAGACATGTAATTTCAATTTATGTTTAAATTAAACTTCCAAGATTTTTACCCAAAATAGCCTCAAATTTCTCCAGTATATCATTGCAGAATTCAGCCTTTAGTGCAATTGGGAAAGAGTTATAAAAGTATTAATTCCATTCTATCGCATATTGTGATAGATTAATTTACAGTAGCGTACTGTACTCTTAAAGGAAATTTTTTTTTTTTCTCAGGGAAATTATTTTTATTCATTGTAGAGATATCTGGCAGCTATAGCAGTGCAACTGTTTTAACTTCTCTTACTACTTTATTTATAAATAGTGCAATTACATATTGTGCAAATTTTAAACTTCATATATCAGTGCGTGGCTTGCAACTGAACAACAATTTTTTCAGTCTTCTCTGTGAATGTATTCTGTAACCTCATGGCAGAAAACTTAAAGATGTGTTGTTATAGATTGTTATTTTAGTGTATTATTACTGTAAAATAAATTGCTTCTAAACTGATGTCTTTTTTTTTAAAAAATTTTAAGAAACTAAAAATCACTCAATTTTTAAAATTAATTTTATAATTAAACATTGTTTTGTTATTTTCAATAGTTATTACATTAAAGTTAATCAAAATATTAGCTCTGAATAGTTTGTAAAACTGATAATGGGATTCAGATCTTTTAAAAACTGATACCAGTTCTTTCTTTTTTTTCTTTCCTAAACGTTCCGGTATGCTTAAAAAATTTATCAAATAATAAGGTTAATGTCAAAAAGCCAAGCTTTAATCTATTTAGTGTGAAAACAGAAATTTTATAATCCCCAAAGAATGGTAAAAATTTTATTTTATAACCGGCATTGAATTGCCGACCCAATTTTGGGTTTAAGACTACTAATGTTCAACTCCGTAGCCTTGTAATTTTGTACCCAATCCAGAAGACTAGGGAACTCCTGGATCATGTATTAGAAGAAATTTCCCTTTGAGGAGGACTTTTTGATGGAACTAACCTGCATTTGCGTTACATGGAGAGGGAAACCTCCCATGGGTAGCCTGGCGGCAAGTGGACTCTAACCCATGATCTGTCTACCACTGACTATGTTTTACGTCATTACCACGTGTGATGGGTGAACATCGTGATTCTCGGGGATTGTCCTTAGTTTGTGTAGAGTAGAAACGCTTTGCGGCTATCCCGTATTTCTATATTCTTTAAATGTTATAATTACT